TGCCGTCGCTAACTCAACTTGGTTGTCAGAGATCGGTTTTACAATGCTTTTCAGTGCTTACAGTCTTGCTCTGCACCTGTGAAGATGGGTGAAGATGTACAGCTACTCTGTGTAGTCGGTTATCTCTGTCTCTCTGTAGAATTACTTGAGTCAGATGACATCATCGTGTGAGTTCCGGCTAAACTACACCGATAACGAGTGAAGTTGCATCAAATCCGACGGACTGATTGCTACTCACATAATCTCAGCATAGATACAAAAGGCTCGTATGACATTTACCAAACTACGATATCTCCGATGTAGACGTGATATCTAGTTGGCTGTCGATGAAGTGACTCGTCCACTGAACACCACTTCGTTTTGTCCTCCTTTATGGCTGTGAGGCATAGTCATTGAAAGTGGAAAGTATGAAAATGTTAGCTGTCTTTAATCAGAGGTGTGCGCGTTCTATCTCCTGTGCTAAGTGGTATAGTATAATGAGTAGTACTGAGGTTAAGCGTTGAGTGTTTGGTAGATGAAGAAAGTTCATTAGTAAGGTTATGAAGCTACATTGATTGAGATGGTTAGGACATGTGTTACACATGCATGCTCTGGCCATCGATCTCCTTTCTTAACGACAGGATATGTTAGGTGACTGACATAGGATGGGTCAGATTGGAAAAGAGCTAGCACGTGGGTGTCAAACCAAAACAAAGCTTTATTGGTCCATAAAGCCAGCCATGTAGAGAGTTATAGGCTTCCTGGTTTGAATCCTCGGAATACTAGAAAACAATTGTTTGAAACTGTTTGGTTGTAGGGCTGAAAATCGTCCTTAGTGTTGCAGACGCATACACTCTGTATGATTTACCATAACAAATAAAACCCTATTAATTACAGAATTTCATCATGAGCAACAGCAAGTTGTTGAATGTAAGGACAAATGCGCTCGTCACTGATGACATTGGCTAGAGGAATTCATGGCCTAGCCATTGGATCGAGTCCCAATGACTTGATTGTCTACGAGCTTACCTAGTGACCGGAAGGTCTTGGATTCGAATCCCCCTGTGGGGGTGGCTGCGTACTGATGAAGAGTCCCAAAGTAGGACAGAAGAGAAAACTGTCTAGTATTCCTTACCTGACTTTCCAATGGTTCTCTAACTGATGTCAACTCATGATGAAATCCTGTAACCAATCAAATCTCTAGAAAAACCAATGCTTGAAAACCCTAATGTTTTTCTATGCTACTATTCTTTCTTCTGTATTTTTCTGTAGAGACTACTGAAAACCGTCATTTCCGTAGATCATCCGTGTTGTGCTTACTACTTCTTCCTATTCTCGTATTGTGTTTCTTTGTCTTCTTTTCATGTCTTCCATGTTTTACCGCAACGCTGAATCATTTTTTACTCTCCCTTTGACGTCAAATCTGTGTCTCTCAGCTATGTGATATTTTTTATACACTACTCATAAATCTTATCAGTAGCACACATGCCACACAGTTGTATATATATATATATATATATATATATATATATATAGTGGTGACTAATATGCACACGTAAGACAAAGACACCAAGTTATTTTAGGGTACACGTCGCTATTTTTTTTCTTATCAAGGCTAGTTAATAGGAGACTATTAAGTATATGTTTGTGTGTGAATGTGTGCGTGCGTGCGTGCATGCATGCATGCGAGGGTGTGTGTTAGTCACATAGATTAGATACTGTATAATTTAGAATATAACATCATGAGTCATAAGACAATGATGTCTAAAGTTTATAATACAATACAAAAAAAGCTCAAAGTGGTACAAAGTGTAATTTTTTTCTCTCTCGTTGTTTTCTCTTTGATGTTGTTGCTGTTGTTATGAGACTGTAACAACTGAGTCATTATGTCTAATTTGTTCAATGTTTGTCGTGAGATATGAGTTGAAAGGTTGTCGCTGGCTAGGCTACATGTGCTCTTGGAAGTGTTTTATGGGCAGTTGTTAAATTCCCGGCAGCCGACACCGTGGAAGTTGATTGATTCTTTGGGTACCTGAAACAGAAAGAAGGGGTTAGTGTTGCGTGACCACACAGCCCAGGGAACAAGTGCTTGAGGCCAGCCGGTATGAGCTGGTTTCTTGGGTTGGTTATGTATTAGTAAACTTACCACTGGTTATGGACCACAGTAGGTAGGGTAAGTTGGGATGTACAATTGTTGGGGTCGACCTTTTCTAACCCCTCCCTCTATCCAGAGTGGAGAGACAGCATAACTGGCTGGCATTCTGGTCATAATGTGAAAAATTCTTACACTAAGGCGGTAACTGCTTTTAGTGTAATCGCTATCCTAACAACCTTTCTGGCATGGTAGGATCTGCAGAAACAATAGTTCCAGCCAGTGTAGCTTGTTAGGTCATTGCGATATGCAAGCCCGACCACCACATCAAGGTAGCAGCTATCGATCACTCCTTGTGACTTATAATATCCAATAAAACTCTATTATTCGTCGTTATTGCTATTCCTCTTGTCTCATATCTCTGTCTACTGTCTCTATTATGCATTTCTTCTAATTTCTTCTCTTGCTTTGTGTGCTACATGGAGTGTGGCGACTTGAACTGCTGCACATCGGTGGGAAGTTCTATATCGAAAACAGACAGACAGACAGCTGTCTAGACTAGACTCTAAACTATCATGGATGAATGGGTTGAGTTTATGAGTGCTGGGCGTAATCGTAACCAACGGTGTCTACCGATGACTTGTCGACTCGACTAAATTTGAGGAACAGAGCATGTACTATGATAATGGTGATGATTATGATGATGATACTATCCGGTTGTTTTGAATTTCGTATGGAGTAGGATTCGAACCAAGAACCAGTTGGGCTGAAAGTCGTATGCTTAAGCCAATGATCACACAATATGTGATTTACATGATGGCAGTGATGAAAGCAAGCAAAATGGCGTGGTGATGGTGGTGGTTGTGGTCGCTTAGGGGGATGTGCTTATCAGTGATGTGCTATGTGTAACTGAGTTCAGAGACCTGTTTGTTACTTTAATGTAAAGTGTAGAACTTGGGTAGTGTGTCGTAGAATGTAATTCCATACTAGATAAGTTTATTTTAAATATCACAAATAGAGTGGGTGATGCACTATTAACAACTAGATGACTAGGTTTTGAGCATAAATTATTGCTGCTCATAATAGTATCAATTTTGGTCACACGGTTTCACAGTTTATCTTATATGTATTTTCCCTCTCTCTGTCTCTCCAACTTCCCTTTATTATTTGTTGTCACTTTCCATATCTCCGGTATCATAGGCATTATGTCATGATCGATAAACAAAGCTTCAGTGATTAACCACATTCTCTCTCCACCTAACTAACTATATAACTTTTTATTACTCTCACCCTCTCCCACCCACCTTATTTTGTGATTACATACAAGTGAAGGCTGTGCCTTAATTTTTCTAGGTTCTTTAACTAAGCAGGGTCAATTTTACCACTGGGTCTTGCTAAATTTCTATGTGCCAATAATCTAGCTGACCTCATTTATACTCACTACATGTTATTTGGTAAAAAATTACATTATTTCTCCTAATTGGATATGTTGGGTCCTTCAGCTGAAAAAGTTGATCTCTGAGAGAGATGGTTGTTTGGTTGATTTAAATGCCACCCTGACTAATTCCAGCCTAATCCTCTGACATCCCCTTCTTTATACGGTAGTTCTTCAGAAGCTTTGCATTCTATTTTATTTTCGTCGCCTTTGTTGCTAGTCTTAGTTTTTCTATGGTCTTCGTAGATTTCTGAATAAATTCTTGTGGGTAGTAGGTTATTCACTAGTAATACTTCCTTTATTTGTTTGATTTGGTTTATTTAAATTCTCTGGCCTACTTGTTAGCTGTGCACTACTGGTTGATGTAAGTGTAACGACAGAAGACAAGGATCCAGGCAACAAATCATTTACATTGAGAAAATCAAGAGATATTTATAGATTTTTATGTACATTCTTGTCAGCAGAGAAGCAATCTCTTCTGATTGGTTGTTTTCTTTCTCAATGTTATCCTGTACTGCGCTTGTGACCGTTTCTTAGAAAGTTAAGCCATTTATCTGCGAATCGTATTCGCACACACTGAGTCTGCTGTGATTGGTTGTTGAGTTTCTCAAGGTTACGCTTTGTAATTGTCTGTTTTTTTTCTCTCATGACCCCGCTTCGAGACGTGAACATTGACGTAAATTGTTGTTGTCTACAATTTTGGCTTGTTCGCAGACAGCTCTCACTGCTGCTGCTGGATTCAACATAGAACTTGAAACCGAAGTGCACCAGTTCGAGTTGCCACGTTCCAAAGAGCACACAAAGGTAGACAAGAAAATGAGTGAAGGGGATCAATAGAGTTTTGACAAGTATAAGAGTGAAACAGAATGAGTAATGGTAGAAAGGAATATGAAAGACTACAGAGACTAAATACATCTGCGTAAGCCATTGACAACGATTTTGAGCCATGTCACCTATTGTCTCCAGCCATTGATTCTTAGAGTCCCGAGGGCGGGCCCCAACCCGGAAGTATGCATCTCCCTCCCTACCTGACTGACTCAGTTTAACTGTCAAGGATTTCATGGATTGATGAGGCCATGCTTTTGTTTGGCATGGCACCACTTACTCTTTTCCTCCAACCTGCACCTATATCAGCTAGTAATGCCCGTCGGGGGCGGGAGACGATGGTTAGGCGTTCGCAGCACGTGACCTAACCATCTCAATCTATGTAACTTTATAGCCTCTTCGAGTCATTTTCCCTCTCTGCCCAACACTCTAGGCCTAACGTCAACATTACTTACCTTATTATTACCACCTAACGTGAGAGAGAGAGAGAGATCGTAAACATCTGTGGTCAAAAAACAGCTCTCACTACATAAGTGGTTCCCAAGTCACTCAGAAGTCAGTGTTTCATAAGTCGTTACTTGTTTTTTGATAGCCATTGTTTTCATATGAAATGTATAGAGTAATAGTTGTTATTATTATACGTTGTTGTGTTTGTTTATACCTTTTCAGAGTCAATCTGTATTCGATGTAGCTGACAAAGATATGATTGTATTGCTTAGACAACTTCGTGAAAGACAAAGAGCTGTAAGTTTTTACCGTGTTTGTTTCACTGTTTCTCTTTTCTCTTTCTGTTGTAATATCCATTTATGTATACTGATACAAGTCTGTGGATGTGAATGGATGTGAGACCTGGCCATTGAAAGTGGAAGACATGAAAGGCCGGCTAGCTGTCTTTGATCATAGGTGCCTGCGTTCTATCTCCTGTGTGTGTGTGTGTTAAGTGGTATAATAGGGAGAGCAATATTGAGCTATGGCTAGGTAAAGAGGGGAAATCAATAGACGATGCTGTGAAGTTGCATCGATTGAGATGGTTGGGACGTGTGTTACGCATGCCTGCATAGCCATCGCCTTCCTCGACAATGGGCAGTGTTAGCTGACATAGGGTCAGGTTGGAAAGGAGTTAGCTAGTGGTGGTCAAACCAAAACATGACTTCATCAGTCAATGAGATCCACAACAGTTAGTTTAAGCCACGTAGGAAGGTGTAGTCTGTCTGCTTTCGACATAGAACTTTGCACATATGTGCGGCTGTTCAAGTCGCCACACTCCATGTACCACACAAAGGAAGAGAAGAAAGTAGGAGAAATGCATATGAGAGACAGTAGTGTGGGACAAATGAATAGTAATAACGAAGAACAAAACAGTTTCATTGGAAATCATAAATCACAAGGGGTGGATGCATCTACGCTGTCAATGAGAACGATTTTGAGCCATGTCACCAATTGTCTCCAACCATTGGTTTTTACTGTCCCGAGGACCCCAACCAGGAAGCCAGTCTACACCACCCTACGTGGTTGGCCTAAACTAACTGTTGTGGATTTCATTGACTGTTGCCATGTTTTGGTTTGACCGCCGCTAGCTGTTTTCCAGCCTGACCTTATGTCAGCTAACATTGCCGGTCGGTCAAGGAAGGCGATGACTAGGCATACGTAACACATGTCCCAACCAACTCAGTCGATGCAATTTCACAGCCTCGTCGATTGATTTCCCCTCCCACCTACCTGGCACTCGACGCATAACCTCAATATTGCTCACCTTATTATACCACTTCACACGGGAGATAGAACGCAGGCACCTATGATCGATGACAGCTAATCTTTTCGTGTCTTCCACTCTCAATGTCCAGGTCTCACAGCCATAAAGGAGGACAGAGCGGACTGCTGAGCAGTACACACATCCTTTGGTCGATAGCCGGATATCACATCTACGCCAGAGATGATGTAAACTGGCACATGCGAAACTAGCCCTCTGTATCCGTACTGAGATTTCGTCAGCAATCAACCCGTTGGGGCTGGCTGATGCTACTTCCCAAATAAGTGAAGTGGTTAACGTGCTCTACCACTTCACTCCCTATTTCTAAACTAGGGGTCAGTGTAGTCCAGTCCTGTAACCTCATCTTACATCTGGCGGGAGCGAATCGCATGCAAAACATTCGTAGATTGCAGCTCAAGGTGTTCAGAAGACTGCATTTTGTCAGCGTCTTCACCCGGAGAGGGGGCTATATCATGTGCATTATCTAAATCAACGAGATTATTCCCTGGTGGTAGCAGGTCAATCCCTGAGTCTCTGAAATGAGTTAGGGTTAAGTCCATTAGTACATTTACAATGGGTTTCACAACCCTGTTGGTCTACTCAATTTCGTAACTTTAAACCCTACACATCAAACCATATTTAATTGTTATGATGAAAATGGATCTTGAAACGGCGACGATTGGCAAAATGTTTTATCTTTTATGAAATGATGACGAAATATTATGCACATGATTATTGTCTAGGGGTGCGCATGCTACGCATATGTGTTGTGTTCGTGTGCGTGTGCGTGTATTTGTGTCAATAAGTGAAAACAATTTGGGTGAACAGCTGATTTGTGTCAACGTACAACTAACTCTTTGAAATATTCTACCGACTCTCTCCTCTCTCTGTGTGTCATTACGTTTAACTAGTCTATTTTTTGTCTAACTAACGCTTCTATCTGAGCTTTCTATTCTCCATGTGCTTTTGTGTGTGTGTGTGTGAAAGAGAGAGTGAAGGAGAAAGGTTGTCACTAATCGGTTTTGGTGTGTATATATTTCTCATTATATGACTTCTACTTTTATACATGAAACTATGGCTCACAGGTTTAAAAGCTGGTCCTAGAAACCACCCTTCTCTATGGCACTGAAACATGGCCAATACGAACGAGTTGAAGACATGAAAAGATTGACTGTTTTTGATCATAGATGTCTACGATCTCTTTCTCACGTTAGGAGGTGGTATAATAAGGTAAGTAATGTTGACGTTAGGCGTAGAGTGTTGGGCAAAGAGGGAAAATCAATCGACGAGGCTATAAAGTTACATTGATTGTGAGATGGCTAGGTGACGTGCTGCGCATGCCTAACCATCGCCTCCTCCGACTGACGGGCATTACTAGCTGATGTATGTGGTGGTTGGAAAAGAGTAAGTGGTGCCGTGCCAAACAAAAACTGAGTCAGTTAGGGAGATGCAGACTTCCGGGTTGGGGCCCGCCCTCAGGACTCTAAGAATCAATCAATGGCTGTAGACAATAGGTGACATGGTTCCAAAATCGTTGTCAATGGCTTACGCAGATGTATTCAGTCTCTTCTGTAATCTTTCATATTCCTTTCTACCATTACTCATTCTGTTTCACTCTTATACTAGTCAAAACTCTATTGATTCTCTTCATCACTCATCTTCTTGTCTACCTTTGTGTGCTATTTGGAACGTGGCAAATGGAACTGCTGCACTTCGGTGTCAAGTTCTATTTTGAATCCAGACAGACCTAGAAACCACTGGGTTATGGTTTCTAACCCGTGACCCAATTATCCAGGGTTTAGGCAATCAAAAATAGTGTAATGCTTAACACGGGAGATAGAACGCGGACATCTTTGACTAAATACAGTTAGTTACCCAGTATTTTCATAGCTTCTACTTCTAATGGTCTGGTATGACAGCCATATGGAAGGATGCAGTGAACTGCTAGGTAGTATACGCGTCTTTTGATCGATAATCAGCCGGATATCATATCTATGCTAGAGATGACGTAAGTTGGCGAGCAACACACGAGTCTTTGGTATTCCTTGCTGAGATTTCATCGTCAGCCTTTCCTTTTAGGGCTGGCATAACTTCCAAAATAAGTCAATTGGTGTACACACTGTACTACTTCACTACACCTGTATCTTCAAGCTAGGAGGCAGTATAATCCATTCGTATAGCATTATCTTACATTTGACAGTAGCAAATCACATGCGAAGCTTTTGGAAATCAACGCTCAAGGTGTTCAGAATACTCTGCATTTTATCGGTTTCTTTACCAAGGAGGACTATATGATTGATATATTATAAGTGAACGAGACTATACCCCCCGGGGAGCAGGTCAGCCCTAAGTGTCTGAAGTCAGTTAGGGTCGATTTTATTGGTACATCAAAAGATGAAATTAAACATAAATAAGGATAGTGGTCATCCCTGACGGATACAATTGGTTGTGATGACTTCTGGTGTCAATTCTCTATAAGCTCTTACTTGACTGGATGATTAGTGCGCTGTATTTCTCTCGGCACTCTCTTCACGGCCTAAATCTGCCATAGTACCTCTTGGTCGACGGCGTCATATTATCGTCTTCAGTTTGTTGACTGATATATTACAATAGAAGTGTGGGTGGCACAGTGGTTAGGACTCTCGCCGACCATGCACATGGTCCGGGGTTCGATCCCCTGCCGGCGCACACCCGATATCTATGGTCGGCCTGTAAATTTGGGCTACCGATATCCAAGCTGAAAATTCCATACTTGTACTGAAAATACAGTGTGGAATCAAGCTGTAATCAAAATAAAATAAAAAAGCATACATAGACGATTAGGAATGAAAAGGATGCAATCAATCGAATCCCTACAAACCAACACTTGAATATCGCTGAGATGCTCACTGGCGACTGGCCCTATTCAGGTAGGTAGTTACCTGGGGTTTCAGTGGGAAGTCGTGACCAGTAGGGTGCAGCAGGTCGGATGTGAGGACAAATACTCGCCGAAGACATTGGCTACCGGTTGCGCTATATCGTCAATTGGCAGAAGTTAGAATTCATGCAGTGGCCATTGGATCGGGTCCCAGTGGCTTAATGGTATACGAGCTCGCCTTGTAACCAGAAGGTCGTGGGTGCGTACTGATGAAGAGTCCCAAACTAGGATGACAAAACAACTGTCTAGTACTCCCCGACTGGTTTTCCAATGGTTCTCTAACCAATGTCACCTCATGATGAAATCCTGTAAAGGATGTACGTTTGGAAAGTAGGAAAAAACATACACGAAGTGTTATGAACTGCCGATTGAAAACTGGATTGCTCAGTTATGCTAACTGACTGGTTTCAACGTAGAACTTTGCACAGCAGTTCGAGTTGCCACTCTTCCTGCTTGTACCGCACAAAGCAAGAGAAGAAAGTAAAAAGAAATGCAAAATAGATAGATAATAAACAGAAGTGTGAGTGAAGAAAAGAGAATAGTAATATGGAAGAACAATAGAGTTTTTTTTGGATTTGGGAAATCACAAAGAGCCATTAAGAACGATGATTTTGAGCCATATCACCAACTGTTGCCAGCCTTCATTGCTACTTACCATCGCTAGGATCCAAACCAGTCAACTAACTGTTCTGGATTTGATTGACTGATGAAGTCATGTTTTGGTTTGACCACCACTAGCCAGCTCTTTTCAAACCTGATCCATCCTATGTCAGTCAGATAACATTGCCTGTTGTCGAGAAAGGTGACGACTGGGCATTCATGCATGTAACACCTGTCGAATCCATCTTAATCGATGTAATAGCTTTTAATAATAATAATAATAATTTGCTTTATTCCAGAAACAGTACTAGTGGTACAGTGTGGAATTTTCAGCACATATCTACAATATTTGCATCTAATTTTATCAAACATTTAAAAGGAGTATTTCAAAAAAATTAATATGAAAACCACGACAACAAAAAGAAAAAATCTCAAAAATAATAAAAAATGTGAAAAAATACCAAGAAGTAGAAAGGAAAATAAAACAACATAAAATAATATTTCAGTATTGGGTAGTGGAAGCTTTGATATGATTATGCATGGTGACAGTAAAGCTATAGTCATACAAGAAGTTATGAAATGATATTTAAGAATGTTTATCGCCAAGATGCTCAGTTAATTTGGTTGAAACAAACACTAAACAATCATAAAATAACATTTCAGGGTTGTTGTTTTGTTTTTTATTGTCAGCTCTAATGCGGTGTTTGTAGTAGTAGTGTGAGTAATCCTGCATAATACAAAATTTTAAGATGGTGATAATGGTGTTCACAACCAATGATTGTCAGTTTATTATTGCCGAAAAGAATAAAAATAAAAAAAAACAACCACAAAAATTAATAATTACATGATGGTTAATGACAGGACAATTTTGTAATACTCATAGTGCTAATATAGTCGGAACCAGTGGATACACAAAAGAAGGAATAGAGTAAAGTACAAAAAAGTAAGCCAATATTAATAATTTAGGTAGCTAAGTATGTTTAAGAAGGTGTTCACTATAGAATACCAAATAAGAGAGAAATAAAAGAGCCTAAAATTATGATTATGTACAACAAAGCAAGTTGTAGGTTTCGTGCTTAACATTGTCTTTGTCACTTAGAACACGGGCTTCACAACCTCGTTGATTGATTTCTCCCCCTTACCTAACATTCGATCGGCAGCTAACCTCATTATTGCTCACCCTATTATACCTATGATCAGAGACAGCTAGCCAGCCTTTTTGAAAATCTTCCACTTGCTCAGTTCAGGGATGCACGTCTCCGACAGCATCACTGGAGGATGGATATTACGAGTTGAAGTCTCTAAAGCTAGTCCAGTTTTTTTTACAAAAAATATTTTCAGATATGCCTTATTCTTTTTTTAATATGTCAGAAAATATTCTGTTGACCATCTTTAATCGTGCATCATGACGTATGAATAGGATTTATTGGATTTGAGGAAAAAAAATTGGGTTGTATTTATACGCGACAGCTTACTACTAATATTTTATCTATTATAAATTGTATCTTAAACACCTTGCCTTAAAAGTCTGTCCTATTGTTTTACCCTGATTATTTTTTATCCTTTATATCTACTTTCAGGAAAGACAATCCAATGCATCGAAAGTACCAGATCCAACAAATAAACCAGTGGAAGCAGTTAAACGAAGGTAATTATTACACTTATATGAGCATAGCTGCTTTATGATTATATTATGTTATGTGGTGTATAAGGATGGCCGTTGCATGGCCGCAGAGCCCAGGGAACAACTGCTTGAGGCCGGTCACACGCGGCCTGTTTTTGTTTGTTCTTTTTCATTTGGTGTGTCTCAGTAGCATATTTATCACTTCTGCCTTGTGACACGGCAGCAGGAAGTACGGTCGTTATTAATCCTGGCCCCGACCGTTCCGGCATGATATTTTGTGATTTACTTTGAGTCATAGCATTGGGTTGGGTAACTGCTTTTTGTCTAACCGCTATCCAAACAACCTTTCTGGCATGGTAGGACCTCAAGCGACATAAGTCTCAGCCAGTATGGCTTCTTGGGTCATTGCGGTGTTCAACCCCGACCACCACGTCAAGGTAGCAGCTTTCGGTCGGGATCGAATGACGTAAGAGACTGTTAGGGTTATCGAATACCATGGGAACGTGTAGCTCCACTGTCTTGTGGACTGATCAGGCAGTATGTCGAAAGCTTGAGAGGTGGTATTTCTTAAAACGATCACTTGTTTCAATGTGAGCATGCGTGGTGCAGTATCTCAGCCCTCTCACAGGAACTATGCAATTTTGTGTGTTTTGCTTCTCCCATTGTGCCCATAATGTATCAAGCTTTTGTTTTTTTAGTAATAATACTAATGAAGAGGGAGAACTTGCTTGGTGTGAGAGGGTGAAAAGCCTCACTCCTTTACCTCGTTAAGCCAGTTATAAGACTGGTAAAGAGGCTAGATTGGGCAGGAGGCTAGCAACCGCTATCCCGTAGAAGTAAGCACCACTGCCACTGTCTATCTGTCTGGGTTCAACATAGAACTTGGCACCGAAGTGCAGCAGTTCCAGTTGCCACGTTCCAAATATCACACAAAAGTAGACAAGAAGATGAGTGAAGAGAATCAATAGAGTTTTGACAAGTATAAGAGTGAAACAGAATGAGTAATGGTAGAAAGGAATATGAAAGATTACACAAGAGACTGAATACATCTGCGTAAGCCATTGACAACGATGAGTTTGAGCCATGTCACCTATTGTCTCCAGCCATTGATTGATTCTTAGAGTCCCGAGGGTGGGCCCCAACCAGTCAGGAAGTCTGCATCTCCCTCCCTACCTGAATCAGTATAACTGTCAAGGATTTCATGGATTGATGAGGCCATGTTTTTGTTTAGCATGGCACCACTTACTCTTTTCCAACCTGCACCTATATCAGCTAGCTAGTAATGCCCGTCGGAGTGGGGGAGGCGATGGTTAGGCATGCGCAGCACGTCACCTAGCCATCTCAATCTATGTTACTTTATAGCCTCTTCGATTGATTTTCCCTCTTTGTCCAACACTCTACGCCTAACGTCAACATTACTTACCTTATTATGCCACCACCTAGCTTGAGAAAGAGATCGTAGACATCTATGATCAAAAACAGTCAACCTTTCCATGTCTTCAACTCGTATTGGCCATGTTTCAGAGCCAGCCATAGAGAAGGACGGAGGGAACTGCTGAGCAGTACACACGTCCCTTGGTTGATAGCCACTGCTACAGAAACTTCAAGTCTCTAGCTTTTGAAGCCCTATGTTGGAAACTGTTCACAAGGTTCTGTTATCGTTTTTATTATCTGTTGTCACGACTGACATTTTAAACAAAACTAGAATGTCTCTTAGTAACTTTTGATTTGAACCAATGACTGTGGGGATTCAAATGGTAGATTTTATTGCAATCAGATATTAGTTGGAAGATCGTTGGAAACCTGACCGACTGTACTGGTTAGCTTAGCTGTTTAGTCTTAGTTTGGGACTCTTCAACAGTAGGCAATCATGACCCCATTAGGGATTCAGCTGAGTTGGGTCGAAGCCTAATGATCCACATCCTTTTTTTGTCTACCAGCGTCATCCAGTGTTATGCACCGAGAGTATCTGTAATCGTAGCTGACACTTAAAATCCAATTCCATGCTGTAGTTGGCAATGAGCTACAACATCTATTGCGTGTGAGTGTGTGTTTGTGTGTGATGCTTAGGGATATTACTACTACCTGCGGCTACGCAAACCTTAATTGGGTGGGGTGGGGCGGGGTTCGAACACTTGATCAACCCATTTGTGTTTAGAAGTCAAGCGGCTATTATCCATGGGGCGAGATTGTGAAGTTACACGGATTGAGATGGTTAGGACATGTGCTACGCATGAATGTCTAGATATCGCCTTACTCGACGATTGGGCAATGTTAGCTGACATAGGGGGCAGGTTGGAAAAAAGCTAGTGGTGGTCAAACCAAAACATGGCTTCATCAGTCAATGAAATCCACAACAGTTAGTTTAAGCCAGTCAGCCACGTAGGAAGATGTAGACTTCCTGACTGGTTGGGGTCCTCGTAATGGTAAGAACCAATGAAGGCTGGAATCAATTGGTGATATGGCTCAAAATCATTCTCAATGGCTTGTGCAGATACATCCACTCCTTGTGACTTCTCTTACCCAATAAAGCTATACTGATCTTTGACATTTTCTATAGTTTGGTTTGTAAGGGTTATTTTTATTTTTACGAGTTGATCACGGATTGATATCAGTTAGAGAACCATTGTAAACCTGCCACAGATAGTACTGGACAGCTGTTCCCTCCATCTTAGTTTGGGAATCATCGGCATTACACACCCACCACCAGAGTTCGAACCCAGGAACTTCTGGTTACAAGCAAGGCAAGCTCGTATACCATTCAGCCACTGGAACCTGATTCAATGGTCAGTCCATGTATTGTAACTTCTACCAATTCGTGATTTAGCGCGACCGCAACCATTGTCGTAGGTGGGACATCCAACCTCACACGTGACATCCGGATATTATTACCATTCGTTTTGCGTCATATCTCTGTTTACTGTTTCTATTTTGCATTTCGTTTTACTTTCTTCTTCTTCTTCTTCTCTGGCTTTGTGTGCTGAGTGAAGTGTGGCGACTCGAGCTGGTGCACATCGGTGCAAAGTTCTATATCGAAAGCAGTCACTTAGTCAGTTAGTCAATGAGACCACACATCCGTAATCTTACTATCGAACAGTCATTTTATTGAAATATTGGTTTGTAGGGATTTGGTTGGTTGGTTACAGGATTTCATTATGAGCCGACATTGATTAGAGAACCATCGGAAAACCACCTGGGAGTACTGGACAGCTGTTTCGTCAACCTAGTTTGAGACTCTTCATCAGTACGCACCCAGCTAACTGGGGTTTGAATCCAGAACCTTCTGGTCATTTTATTATTATTTGTGAGATGAGAGAGGCAGGCAGGGTGACTAAGAACAAATCTCGCCAGTAAATATTCATGCTTGTGCGTGTGTGTGTTAAGTGGTTTCTAACTGTGTTACGCATATGAGTCAGTCGGGTGTGCGTATACGTGTGCGTGTATCGATATTCACTTGGTTTTTTATGTTCTGCTGACTCGCATGAAAACAAAGGCGTGTAAGTATCAATCAATCTATCACAGAAGTGTTAAATCATTACAAAGCTGTTTAAATTTGTCTAAATATTTAAATATTTTTCCAAAAATAATTTGTCAACCATTGAAATCACTCAAGTATTATTATTATTATTACTATTGTTAGAACTTTGATCGACTTTGAGCAAAACAATATAAGTAAATAAGGTTTATTATTATTATTATTATTATTATTATTATTATTATTATTATTATTATTATGAACTGCTTCGATTTATACACCTACTTCACTGTCTCACTCACCTACACAATATTTCAGTTGACTCTTATTAAAAAAGAAGACGCAAGTTTTAGAAAAAATATATATAGTGAATTTACTATTCTAAGTAAGACAACTAAGGAGTATAGGTACCCACCCCACAGAGGATGAGGATTGGAAATTACCCGATGAGATGGTCGAATCCATGGGGTTCATGAATCTTAACTTCTATGGATTCATGGTATTTAGAACAAACGCCAACGTATGTCACCGATGAGTCGTGCACACCTCACGACTTGTCAGGAAGAAGAAGGGACATCAGAGGCTCCTCTAAATAGGATTCTTAGTGAGACTGGCGTTTAAACCAACTAACCGACCAATCATCATCTCACTTACCGGCTAAGCTTTGTCGGCTTATTATAATTATTGTTCCCTTGGGTTCCTAGTGGAACATAGGGCTTCAACTGCACGTCTCCACTTTCTTCTGTCTTCTGCTGTACTTTTCACATGCATCCATGTTATTCCATACTGTTTCATCTCCTATTCACACGATCTCCTCCATGTCACCCTTGGATGTCCCACTTGCCGCTTCCCTTTCGGGTTCCACTCGAGCTATGGCTTGACGCGCGATGTCACCCAACGGCCTCCTCAGCGAGTGTCCTATCCATCTCCACTTTCTCCTGCGTATTTCTTGGGCTTAAGGATCCGATAAATCCAGTTAAGCAAGAACAACAGTGTGTGGTTTGTGCAGAATAATATGGTACCATCATTGTTTATTTCGTTGCTTGCAAATTTTTCATGATGTTAGTTGAGAAAAGGTTCCGTAGTTAGTGAACAGTGCTCAGAAAATTGTGCTTATATAGTTTTTACACAGGCATTTCAAGTTTAAACAAAATAAATGTATGCCTATAACGCTAAAAGAGTTACGTAATTGAAAGACGCGAGATGCGTAAGGTGCTGATTGACTAATAAATTAGGTAACAATATACTGAGTTTAACTCAAATCATACAAACAAGAGACAAGCAAAATTACACTATATCAAAGGGGGTGAGTTTAAAGCCAAAGATTATGTAATGAAATGAACACATAAATCTGGTTTGTTTCAACCGTTTGATAGAAATTGCTTCGGCAAACTTGAGAAAAATCGAGCTCCTTTATCTATTGGTAATTTTAAAGGATTTCGCGATTTCCACCTACCTCATGACCCGTATCGAGGACATGTCTGGTAATAGCGCTATGCTATTATAAGAGTTTGTTTTCGGTACATGTTCAGAAAATCGGTGTGCCCTTTTTCTTCCTGTTCTCCCAATATAACTGCTCCCGTGTAGTCGAAATGATGCAGTGCCTACCTACCGAAGATATGGAAAATTGCAACAAACAGCAAGTGGAGGGGAGAGTGAAAAATGTATATATATATATATATATATATATATATATATGAGCATATATATATATATTATGAGCAGCAATAAACTTAACTCGAAACACCATCAAGTTACTTAATACTGCATCACCCAACTGTGTGTGTGTGTCATATTTCAAATAAACTTATCTAGTTTGGAATTACATTCTCTACCACACAGTGCTCGAGTTTCTACACTGATAGAAATCAGAATTCACCCGCTGACCATTCCGTTCAGTCCCAGTGGCTGAGAGTGATCAACAACCACCTCCCTTCATAAATTTCAAGGTATCAAGTTCCATGATCTCCGATAGGTAGGGTCATGGTTGTGTATTGCTGAAGAGTCTCAGGTCAGGTCGAAATAGTTGTTCGTTACTTATTGTGTCTTTATTCCTATTCTTCTTATTTTTTCAGTCATCCTAGTGATTTAGAAGAAGCTGAAGATAGTGGAAGTTCAGATGACAATTCCCTGGTAGAAATTGACCAGTCAAGTACTGCTAGTAAAAAACCGACCACTGAACAAGATGTTTCATCAGCTTCAGGTGACATCAAATTAGTGACAACGGGAACGACGACAACTGCAGGAGCAGCAGCAGCAACGACAGCTGTGACCAAAAGTCCAGATACTCCATCAATGAATGGTGGTGTTACATTTCCTAGTCAAGAATCGATCAATCATATACATTCACCGATCAATAATAATAATGATGATAATTATAACAATCCATTGTTAAATGATAATAATACTACTACTGGCCTACGATTTATGACACCTCCGCCGAAACATGAAAACATTTCACCAGGTATTACTACTATTATTCGTTTTGCATTTGTTAACTAACTATTATTAATATTCTTATTGTTTCCTTTAATTCCTAGAGGAACATAGGGCTTTAACCGTGAGTCTCCATTGCGTTCGGTTCTCTGCTACAGTCTTCACCTGGCTCCAAGTCTGCCCACACGCTTTCATCTCCTCTTCACATGACCTCCTCCAAGACGCTTCCCTTTCGGGTACTACTCGAGGGCTTGTCTAGTGATGCCACGTGATGGTCTCCTCAGAGTATGGCCAATCCATCTCCATTTCTTCCTGCCTATTTGTTGCACAAACGGTTCCTGCCACGTTGGTTCGCTCATTGCCAGAGATCTCTGTTGCTGATCTTTTCTGGCCGGCCATCTGATCCTGAGTAGTATTGAGCGAAGACAGTGAGCTGTTAATGAAGGTCTGTAGTTTGTTTGAGATGCTCTTTATGATGCGCAGTGCAAGTCTCTGATCCGTATAGTAGCACTGACTGACTTCACATTGGAGTTGAAAATCCGGATGTTATTTTTGATGCTGAATGCAGTTGACCTCCACACAGACTTGAGAGTAGTGAAAGCTTGTCTTGTATTGGACAGCTCTTTCGTCCTTCAGTATGTACCCACCTGGGCGGCTGCAGCCTAGGACTTTACGGTTACAGAGGGTTTTCTTAGACCATTTTTAGTTATTGGGACCTGTTCAATGGTCAGTGAATTCCTATTTCTATCGATTTGTGATATACATTTAACGGAACTGCCCGCGGAGTCCACCATGTCGGGCAAGAGGACAGTGTTACTCACCTATGACACTGACTGGAGGTTGGACTATATATATATATATATTCTTAATGTGGCAGGAATATAAGTGGTTGGCGTTCAGTCACCCACAAACTCAATTAGAAACAAGCTTTGTCGATTAAAGGATCCTGCCAGTGGCGCCTTCAAAACAAAACAATTTAGTTTATCTAATACCCTGCCTGCAATGATTGTCAGGTCAAATACATAGGTCAAACTAGTAGAACAGGGTCGGTCAGTCAGACTAGAGGAGCATAAAAACCTAGCAAGATCTAGATTAGTTGGCTCAAATAAGATAAGAATTCTAGAGAATAGTTCAGCTATAGCACTATACTACATGCCCTTGCACACAACCATCCATAAAATAGGATGGGATAGAATGACAGTTTTAAAATCTAATGTAACAGCATAATGGAGGGATAGATTGATAACAGAAGCTTTGTTTATCGAATCAACTGCCAATCAGCACTTGTAATAGGAATGATTCGACACCTCTGCACCAGGATATCTGGAAAATTCTATTACCCCTACGACGACAAAAAAACTGTAAAACTCACGCTTCGAAGTCGTGTGATTATAACTGATGATATGATTATGAACAGTAATAAATTGTGTTCGAAACTGTGTCATCCAGTTAATTATACTGTTACACTTACTGTGTGATACATGTAATAAACAAACTAATATGGAATTACTTATTACCACAGTGCTCAAGTTTTACGCACATATTCAAGTCAAAAGTTCTAGGTGTGGTTCTTGAAGACAATCTCCTGCTTCATGACATCTGTTCAGTGCATCTTTGAATGCCCATAACGTACCACGTTTATATTTTAGTAAGTAAAAATGTCAACTGGTGGAACTCAGTCAGCAATAACACAAATGACTAAACGCCATGAAACGTCTTCACTCTCAACTGATCAATCAATATGTTCATCACAGTCCTAATGGTGGTCAATCCATAGCCCCAATGTATAAAATAGCTCTCAGTGATGTAATATGTGTCCATGTATGCGGATCTAAATCTCTTAAGGGACATCAATCCCTACTATTGTGTCATTTTTGCTCCGATAGTTTTGTATCTGTTATAGATAATTTAGAGTGATTACTATTCACACTGATTGAGGTTTATGATGAATCGAGGAGTATTCTAGTGTGTCATTTACGTGCTGTTTTCTAACTTTCTTTGCCCCCCCCCCTCCCCGCTTTTCTCTCTTTCTTTAAGTTTCAATCGACAACGATCCTTTCCATCAGAATAGCAATAACACTGATGATTCAAGACCTACATTGAAATCACTGATCACACCATCAGAGGAACCACCTGTTGTTATAACAACAACTAGTTTTAAAAAAACTGATCCAAGTGTAAAATCAACTCATAAATACACCACAGATCATCAAGATCCGACAGATAATTTCATCAATGGTACTGCTAGTGACGATAAATCATCATCATCATCATCAACTCTGTTGACAAATCAATCTTCACGTCTACCTTCCTTACGAACATCAACCAATAATAAACCACCACCTGGTACTCCACCTCGACGTCTTTCACCGCCTTATATTCCGCCTACTTTATCCTCCGCCTCCTCCACGTCGTCGTCATCGTCATCATCAGCATCCAACTTGTCGTCTACAGAAGCTTCAAAGCCAAGTGATAAAGTGTCGAATATTATAAGTCAAGAAGATAATAACAATAATAATAATAATAGCAATACTAGTAACATTACGGAGAGTAAATATAAAACCGGTATTGTCAGCATTATACCAGCGCCAAGAAGAAGACGTTCCATTGATGAAGATGCTGAGAAAGAGTCATCATCATTATCATCAAAGCCGGAGAATAAAGATACAGTATCATCGGCTACTTCGTCGACTACAACTTCACCAACCACAACCACAACGACAAGCACAACCACTGCATCAACAACTCCACCAAGAACAGGAAGAACAATCACTAAAATTATTGCTGTAAAGCCTAGGGTAAGTTCTTCTTTATTCTTCTTCATGCAAAATAAACGTTTCACATATAGACTAGAGTTTGGGGATGATATTGGCCTCCCCGACAGGAATAGCTTCAGATGTGTTTTTGGCATATCATTCTCTCCTGTCGAATGTGTGTAAGATGATGCTGTTGCAGGATTTGATGACACTGACTCTTAGCTTACCGATTAAGGGAGTGAATATTAGCAGGTCGTAGTGACCACTTCACTTATCTTGGAGATTGCATCAACATTGACGGCTTGATAGCTGATTGGCTGATTGCTTTCAACATAGAACTTTTCACAGAGGTGTAGCAGTTTCAGTTGTGGCTACACTTCATACAGGGGATTCGAAAACAAAAACGACTATAATCTGGAATGTGAAGGGGGAAAGAATAGTAACACGGAGAACTTAATAAATATGGGAGATCATCATTGGAAAAGATTTTAAGCCATGTTACAACAGCCCCCAGCCATAGGTTCTTTGGATCCTGAGAGCCCTAGCCAGCCTGGCAGTCTATACCTCTCCCTACCTAGTAGGCTCGTCGGGGAAGGTGATTGCTAAACATGCGTATGTAGCTTCACAACAATCTCATCGATCGACTTTCCCTCCTAACACCTAACAAACCTCTTATACTTCCACGGATTACTGACGTAATCTCAGTACGAGGTATTAAAAAGACTCCTGTTGCATTTAATGTTTCTTCCTAGTCTGGTATTCTTCAGCAACACGCATCCACGACCACATTGGGGTTCGAAACCAGGATGTTGAGGTAACGGAGAGAAGCTAGTTGACTGATTTAACTACTAGGACGGAATCCAATGGCCACCAGTTCATGACTTCTAACTTCTGTCAAGTAGAAATTTTAGCGCGATCACCAGCCAATGTCACCGGTGTGTGTGTAATTGTGGTCACAGCCGGATCTGGGGGACCACTCCACTGGTCATAACATCTCTCACTAGAACTTCAGGAAACTTCGTCTTGTAGTCATTCACTAGCGATCATCACGTATTAGTTTGTAGTGATTTCATTGGTTTCATGTTTTGATCCTGGAGGGATGTTAGTTAGAGGTGCATTGAAAACTAGTGAGGGACTACTGGACAGCTGTTCTCTGTCTGACATCAGTCAGTGATCAAACTTAAGTCAGAATTGTTGACCTGTTGACTTTATCAGATGTGGTTGCTACTCCAGATCCGTAGACATGATATCCGGCTGGCTGCCGACTAAAGAGCGTGTGTAATGCTCAGCAGTTCACTCTGTCCTCCTTTATGACTATGAGACCTGATCATAGGTGTCTGCGTTCTATCTCCCGCGTGGAGTGGTATAATAAGGTGAGCAATATTGAGGTTAGGCATCGGTCGAGTGCTAGGTAGGGAGGGGAAATCAGTTGACGAGACTGTGAAATTACATCGACTGAGATGGTTAGGACATGAGTTACGTATGCCTAGTCATCGCCTTCCTCGACGGGCAATGTTAGCTTATATAGGGCCAGGTTGGAAAAGAGCTATCGGCGGTCAAACGAAAACATGGCACCAGTCAATGAAATCCACAACAGTTAGTTTAAGCCAACCACGTAGGGTGGTGTAGACTGGCTTCCTGGTTGGGGTCCTCGGGACGGTACAAACCAATGAAGGCTGGAAACAATTGGTGACATGGCTCAAACTCATCTTTCTCAATGGCTGGTGCAGATGCATCCACTCCTTGTGACTTATAATTTCCAATAAAACTATATTGTTCTTCGTTATTACTATTCCTTTTGTCTCATATCCCTGTCTACTGTCTCTATTATACATTTCTTCTACTTTCTTCTCTTGATTTGTGTACTACCCGGAGGGAGTGTGGCAACTCGAACTGGTGCATATCAGTGGAAAGTTCTATGTCGAAAGCAGACAGACAGACAAACCGACTCCAGATCGAACGGTGGTCAAATGCATTCATTCCTTTCATTATTACAATCACCAATAGTTGATTTCTGAGTTATGGTAATAATAAGCCACTGAATCTCCTCCCCACTCACCCCCCCACACACACACTTATTCTCTTCAATATCAGCAGTCTTTGGTCAAAGTGACCCCACTTTGAAAAGGTCACTGGTATGGTGATGAATATGTCTAAGATCTTAGTGTATTTGTAACGCTACATTATTCATAATGTCTTTCACTAATACTGATTTTCACTGATCTTTCCTTCTGTTTTATTTTAGAGAAGCGATCCACAAAAGGCGAATACCACTTCTACTACTACTACTGTTACTACTAATAGCAGCAGTACTGAAGAGAAAGACATCTCAATATCATCGAATAATTCTCATCTTGACACGGATTCTAATAGTTCAGCCTCTGAATATACAACTAATCGAAGGTGAGCTGATTGATGAAAAAAACAACTATTGTTTCTACTTTGATTTTTGTTTGCTTGATTCAGGATGTTGTAACGTGTGCATAGGTGGTTTAGTGGTTAGAATCCTCGTCAACCACGCCAGAAGTGGTTGGTCCGGCTTCGAATTTCCCCACTTGATGCATTCTTAAACCTCATCTAGATATACAGTGGAGAAGATATTTGTAGCTCAGGTGGATGATTTTGTGATGTAGTTGTGTTCTCTCAGCTGGCTGGCTGGTTTATTTGCGAAGCTTTCATTACCCTAGTTACTAGGCAACACCTTCCTTTAGCGCATACTTCAATTTGAATTGAAGTCAGCTTTTAGATTTCTCTGCTAATTTATTAGTTATCTCTCCTGGTGGCCTTGAAGGTGATTGATTGTTTTCGGGTGTTGATTGTTTCCTTAACCTGAAGTTTGACCCTTTGTGTGTGTGCGATTTCCTTCTTATCGATTGGTAAGTTTTGTCTGTGTCAATGTGTCTATTGGTTGATGATTCCCTAGAGTAGCAGGCTTCTAAAAATTCTCTGGCATTCTTGGTGTTTCCTCTGTCTAATATTTGAACGTTGGTTGTCCCAGACAACCACGGGCATCAACCTCATCTAATTCACCTTTTGATCGTAAGCCGGAAAAGAAGGGAAGATGGGGCGTGAGGCTAACAACACAATCCAGTTAAAAGCTCCACTACTACTGAAATTTCAAAACTCAAGCTTGTCTCACACCTCTGTTTACTGTCTCTATTATGCATTTCTTCTACTTTCTTCTCTTGATTTGTGTGCTACATAGAGGGAGTGTGGCGACTTGAACTGCCGCACATATATGCAAAGTTCTATGTCGAAAACAGACAGACAGCATAAGCTAATAAGTATAATTTTCTGAGCATTTGTTGGTCATTTAGCTTTAGAGTCTCCTGTCAACTGACATCGTGTCACATTTGCAAGTATTTTAAAATTGTCTCTGTACAACTGTACGCTGCTGTGGAGCAAATAAAATCGCCGTTGTATTCTGTACAAATCTTTCTTCGGCCAAGTTAAAATTTTAAGCACCACTAACTAACTACCAATGGAGTGCGACTGCACCAATGATCTTGAAACACTCACTGATCAAGTTAGTGAAATCCGGCAAATAATGTTGTCACCATCAATAAAACATGCTCATCGAAGTGTTATAAGTATAAAACTTGGGCACTGTGGTAGAAGTGTCATGCTATTAAATGGGATATCTGGCAAGTTTCAGCTGAAGTTTGAGGAAGATTAAGTTACTCCTTAAGCCAAGGAAAAGTTAGGGTTAGGTTAACCTAGCAAAGGCGACATTAGGGTTGGTTCGAGTTAGATTACAGTTAGTTTGGGGATATTTTCACGTTTGGATTAGGTTTAGGAAAGATTAGGGTTATTTTGCGGGTTAGAAGACCTAAATAATTACATGCATAGAATATGGTTAAATTACACTGTTGATATAATTATTAAGAATAGAACTTGTGAACTGCGGTAGAGTACAATTCCATTGTGGGCAAAATTTATTTTGATGAAGTCTCAGTGTGTTATACAGCAGTAATATTTACTGATGACGTTTTGAGCACAATTTATTGCTCCGTAAATATTACTGTATAACACTACGAAACTTTATCAAAATAAATTCTTACCCACAAAAGAATTTATACTCTGTTGATACTTCAACTTATAACTGAGATCTGCTTTTATCACATGTAAGAGGAAGGTTATCTTCCGTAACACTTTTCTACAGTTTTTATGCAATATTTTTCATAAATATATATGTATTCCATACACAAAAATGCCTCCTTCACGTGATTGGTGCGTTCGAGGTCATTTGCTGATGATTGGTGGTGGTTAGTTAGTGGTGCTTAAAGTTTAACTTTGCCCTTTCTTCTTACTTTCTGCATCCTCGGTATGTGTTCAAAAAATCGAAAATAAGCCCTTGTTTTTGTTTTTCTACTTGATGTAACTGCTTTGACAGCTACATGTACATTGAACCTTCTTTTTACCCCACCCCCACGAGTCTTTGACAAATCAATGGAATAGCGTCAGGAACTGCGTTTCATGGTTTCCCGATGACCGAAACAAGTTCATAAGCTGTTGGGTTCGTTTGGATTCCAGAGCGCATGTACACCACTTAGGTGGTAGGCCTGCATATCCAGGTGTTTGGTTTCGCCTTTTCCTTTTTGTAAGGAACATCCCTATCCGCCGCTTGGAAGCGGTAAATATGCGTTACCTGACAGAGGTTCTATCAATGCGTAGCTACACGAGTGAGAGAGAGAGAGCATTTCAAGGTGAAGGCCGAAGAGTATATCCACCATCTTTGGTTGTACTAGGTCATTTATGATGGCTAACCTTCTTTGTATAATTGTTTCTCATTAATTATCTCTCTTAATGTGTTTCCCCCCCCCCCCTTCATATCACAAGTGATAATTTAATTATGTCTTTTTTTCCCGTCTAAAATTTATTTACACCTTTATTTATTTGTTTATTAGAATATCTGTTGTTATGGCGCCAACAAAATCAGGTGAAACAGAAACTCAACGAAGTGTTAAAGCTCGTTATGTTCGATCAACGCGTCGGTCTACACAAGGTGTTACATCTGATGATGTAGAGCAAGCCAAGAAATTAGTGGATAAAAATAATAATGGCGCCGCTGTTGTCAGTAGTCGTCAACCACCAAATACTGATTCTTCTGTAAATACGCCATCGATGAACAGTCGTTCAACGCTGGACAATACAAATGGTGGTTTGCGTCGATTTACAGAAAACGATTTGATAATGAGTAGTGCACGGTCAATAAATGATAATATACCGACGACTACTGCTAGTAGTGTTGAATCTGCTGGACGACTGTCATCACGTAATGACTACTCATCAAGTATTGGTCGTGAAAATAACCATATTGTAAGTTTCACAGTCTCTTTGGGTCTTTAGTTGTTGTTTTAAAAAAAAAGTAAATTCCTTGTTTTTTGTGATGTCAGTGATAATTGGATTTTATAATTACTGGATATCATCATGAGGTGAAATTAGTTAGAAAATCATTGGAAAACCACATAGGGAACACTGGATAAGGGTTTCGTCCGAATCTAGGAATCTTCATTTGTGCGCATCTATGAACAGGGTTCGAACCCAGTGCCTTCCGGTTATAAGGCGAGCCTGGAGACCATTCAACCACTGAAACCCGATCCAGTGACAAGCCTGTGATTTCAGAATTCAATATGTTGAGCAATATTGAAGTTAGGTGTCGGTCGAGTGCTAGGTAGGCGGGAGGGGAAATCAATCGACGAAGCTGTGAAGTTACATCGACTGAGATGGTTAGGACATGTGCAATTAGTAGTGTTCTCTGAGCTGGTTGGTTTAGTTGCGGAGCTTTCTTCGTCCTTCTGGATAACATCCCTTTTCAGAGCAATTTTTAGCATAAAGTGAACTGATTTAAATTTTCCATGAGTGATGGAATTACGTCTCCCAGTAACCATCTTTACATCTGTATTGCACATTATTTATTGACTTGGATTTTTCAAACTTTCTCGTCACATGATCTGCTTTTTATTAGTTGGTAGATTTGGTCTATATTAACATGTTTGTTAATTGCTGGCTGATTCGCTCTAGTACCGGGCTTCTAGGAATCCCCTGACTGTCTAACATTTCGACATTATCCCAGTTATCAAAAACTGATGTCCATAATTATCTACATGCTTTCAAATGAAACGGTAATATATATCATGTCTTTTCACAGCTGATTTGTGTTCCTGGGTTCTTTCATCAATGTGTGATACATCTAATAAACAAACTAATATAGAATTACTTACTACCACAGTACCCATATTTAACACATATATTCAAGTCAAAAGTTCTAGGTGTGGTTCTTGAAGAGCATCTCCCGGCTTCGATCTGGCCACCTGACAACCATATCACCGATAGTCTTCAGTCATTGATTCTTAGCATCCTGCCGACTTCAACCAGCCAGACATTCTACACCTTCCTCCCTATATAGTTAGATGGCTTTATGGATGTTTTGGTCTAACCATCATCCTTTGATCTTTCCTAACCTTATCGTATGTCAACTAACACTGCTTGCCGAAGAAGGCCGTGACTTAACATGCGCAACATGTGTCCAAGTTGTGTTAATCGACGTACCTTCAGAGTTTTATCGATTGAAGTGGGTTAGCATTCAACTACCTTTAAATCCCAACTGCTATCAATTCACTCTACAACCTCACGTTTAATCTTTATACCAGTACAAAAAAGATAATTCAATGATGGCAAAGTTGATTTGTACGGGGGAGGTTTAGCGATAATCTGATTGCTTTCGCTAACTTACACCATCTCTGGCGTAGGCGTGACATCCGACTATCAACCAAGGAATGTGTGTACTGCTCAGCACTTCGCTCCGTCCTTCTCTATGGCTCTGAAACATGGCCAATACGAGTTGAAGACATGAAAAGCTTGACTGTTTTTGATCATAGATGTCTACGATCTCTTTCTCACGTTAGGTGGTATAATAAGGTAAGTAATGTTGACGTTAGGCGTAGAGTGTTGGGCAAAGAGGGAAAATCAATCGACGAGGCTATAAAGTTACATAGATTGAGATGGCTAGGTGACGTGCTGCTCATGCCTAACCATCGCCTCCCCCACTCCGACGGGCAATACTAGCTGATTTAGGTGCAGGTTGGAAAAGAGTAAGTGGTGGCCAAACAAAAACATGGCCTCATCAATCCATGAAATCCCTGACAGTTAAACTGAGTCAGGTAGGGAGGGAGATGCAGCCTTCCGGGTTGGGGCCCACCCTCGGGACTCTAAGAATCAATCAACGGCTGGAGACAATAGGTAACATGGCTCAAAATCGTTGTCAATGGCTTACCCAGATGTATTCAGTCTCTTGTGTAATCTTTAATATTCCTTTCTATCATTACTCATTCTGTTTCACTCTTATACTTGTCAAAACTCTATTGATTCTCTTCATTACTCATCTTCTTGTTTACCTTTGTGTGCAGTTTGGAACGTGGCAACTCGAACTGCTGCACTTCGGTGGCAAGTTCTATGTTGAATCCAGACAGACAGACAGTAGCAGTGGTGTTTACTTCTACGGGATAGCGGTTGCTAGCCTTATGCCCAACCTTCCCTTTTAACCAGTCTTATTACTGGCTTAACTAAGTAAAGAAGTGTGTTGGTGGCCGGGGATCGAATCCCGGACCAGTTTGGAACGTGGCAACATGAACTGCTGCACTTCGGTACCAAGTTCTATGTTGAATCCAGACAGACAGACAATAATCTGATTAGAACTGATTAAGGCATTCGATGACACTAAATATGGAAGGAATATATCCACGTTTTGTGATAGATTTTACTTCCTGTAACAGCCGAACAATTACAATGGGCAGATAACTGACATTTTGAACTGTCCAGATCCAAAGTTTACTGTCTTAATTCGGTGAATCTTAGTTTCTTCCAGGCTAGGTTGACTTACGAATGCAGTAGTTTTTGAGGAAGGTGACAATTAAGAGTCAGTTGGCGATTTGACCCCCCGCCCATCCTGACTTGTTCCTTCATACTGGAATAGAGGTGTTATGTATGAATATTATGACCTTGTAGACTTAATGCGCTGGCTAATCTGTCCTAATCGCACGTCAACAACAGCAAAAATACCGCCGGGCACGTAAGACAAAGAAAGATGACTGGACGTTGATATGAGAGCTTTTACTGTCTCTACAACAGTCGGAAATGCTAAACAAAACTCCGTATTTATACAGTTTTAGGAAAATCAATGTCACATTAAAAAATATTAACAATCAATGGGGATTCAGTAAACTTAACCATGCAGGTGCGAAAAAATAATAATCATGCAGGTGCGAAAAATCAATATTGATGAGTCACTGGTGTATATATCAAGATGGGGAGAAAAGGTACATCCTCCCTAGTAATTAGGGTACCGTCTTTTCATATCTCCCAGTTGCCGCCCCCCTGCCTTCCCCTATCATATTCAGATGATAACAGCAACCCAGCTCTCCAAATCTGAATATTGTGAATCGGTGGAAGTTGGAATTCTCCATCCAATGGTTCGTCTTCTAACCTGAAGGTTCTGAGTTCAAACTTCGGTGCATTTGTGTACTTCTGAAGAGGAGTTCCAACCTAGGACTAGTACTTCTTGATGGGGGTTTTCCTATGATTTTTTAACTGATATTATCAGTGTTAGCTGGTCGTGATTAAAAACCAGTTTTGAATAATGCTCAGTTGACATGATGTTTAGTTTCCTTTATTGTAATTATTATTATTTATGTATATTTGTTGTTGCTGATTTGTTTGTCTGAGTAATTTTTCAATCAAAAACATAAAATAAAAATAAAAAATGTGATTGTGTACTGATTACATGAATACAGTAGGATTGATAACATTTAGTCAGTTAGTTATCAGTTAGAATATTTCAGTGCGTGCATGATTTACCACATGCCTCTATCCGACTTTATCATTCATCTTCATTATTACTATTGTCATTATTATTATTATCACTATTATTATTGCCTTATGATTTGTATCATCACATGAGAATAAGAGAGGGAGAGAGTCTATGTACTTCCTAAAAGTGTTTACAAAGTAATTGTTTGACTATATGTCATGTATTATAAGTGTGAAATGTAACTGTCATATGTATATGAGTACTGTGTGTAGTCGACTAGAGTAGGATTGGAACCTATGGACGTCATAGTGTTGATAGTAAACTGCTTAATCCAGTGAGCTACTGCTCCGTTGTTGTCGCATACGTAATTGCTGAAGAGTCCCAGACTAGGACGAAATAGCTGTCAAATATTTGTTAGCTTCGTAAAGAGATCTAACAGTCGAAATCCATCCATATCCCCCCACAAATCTCACAATGTAGATATTAATCTCTAGCTGACTGTTCGATAGATGGATGTATTGAAGTGGTACTGAGAAGTCGTGACCAGTTGAGGTTTACTATTTCTACGTTAATTGTGTTGGAGGTGTAGCTTTGTGTCACGAATTGAGAGAAGTTAAAAATCTTGAATCACTGAATGGTCAGCGAGACTAACTTCGTAACTTGATGGTGCCCAGGTTGGATCACTAGTGGTAGGGTCGTCGGTGTGCCCTGTGCTGTGTAGGGGAGTCCCGAAACAGGATGAAACAGCTATCTAGCTGCACAATATACTCCCTTGGTTTTCAATGATCTCTCTTTGATTGATTTTGGTTTTTGACGGAATCTACCCCGAAATAATTATCCTCCCCACCCACCCGCCGTCTTGTTTTTCTAAATTCGCTCGCTATTCGTCATATGATAGGATGCTCGTATGTGGCTTCACTGCAAGATACACACTAATTATACAGAATCTTTAAATAGTGTAATAATCGATGATATATCATCTGAAGCAATATTGTCCTATCTGAAGCCCAATCCCCAGTGTTATTCCACAATGTTCTGCCTCCATTTCCTTCGAAAATTTCTTCGTGATAGGTGGAAACTTATTTGAAACTGTGCATGCTTGAGCATAGATTGTGTCTCATTGTGATAATTAGATGTTTAAAACAATATGAAGTGGAGTTAACACGATGCATTTCAATGGATAGAAAACGTAAGTCTTCTTCGATGACTTACTGCCTCACCTTCAACCTGTTGTACCCTACTGGTCTTGGCTTCCCACTAGAACCCCAGGTTAACTGCCTGTATGGGGTCAGTCGCTAGTGAGTGGTTTTGTAGGGAATTTTTTTGGATTGGTTGGAGGACTTCATCATGAGCTGACATCAGTTAGAAAACCATTGGAAAATCTGCAGGGAGTACTGGACAGCTGTTTCTCCAGTCCTAGTTTGAGACTCTTCATCGGTACGCACCCACACCGCGGGGTTCGAACCCAAGACCTTCTGGTTACAAGGCTAACGAGCTCGTAGACCATTAAGCTACTGGGACCCGATCCATTGGCCAACCCATGAATGCTAACTTTTTCCAATTCATGATATAGCGTGACCACTTCTCAGTATCTTCTGTGTCGATGAGTTACTGCCTCACTGTCTAGTACTCCCAGGTTTTCCAATGGTTCTCTAGCTGACGTCAACTCATGATGGAATCCTCCAACCAATTGAACAAAATCCCTATAAAACCAATCCTAGAAAACGTATGTAGCTCAGTGATTTAAGCAGGCCACCGTTAGGGTCTACCATGTCAAAATGAGATGGTTGCTCATCGAAGATACACCGGTTGGAGAGATTTCGCTGTATCATGTATTGACGGGAGTTAGAGTTCACAAGTCATTGAATTCCGGTCTGAATGGTCAACCTGCTTGATCTCGTGACTACCTGAAGATCCCATATGCTCCCCTGATTTTCAATGATCTCTCTTTGTCTGATGTTCGATCTTGACAGAATCTACGTCGAAATAACTGTCCTCCTTTCCCCGTCTTGTTTTTCTAAATTCGCTGGCTATTCCTGATATTATTTATGATAGCCACATATGGCATTTAGTTATCCTGATTCTGTATTATCTATATACATATATAATCATATCTATTTGTTTGTGTAACCTTGACTAGACATTATCGATTAACAGCAGTTAGTGTATGTGTATGTATGTGTGAGTGTGGTTTGTTCACCATTATTATTATTGATTCGCATCTTTTTTCCTATTGGAGGATATTTCTTTCACAGTCTCTAGTACACAGACATAAAAAAATATGTGTAACACACTAGGACTGTGATGACGACTAGTGGTGGTGGTGGTGGGACTGGGTAGTATTATAGTATTATTGGTAATAATAATAATTTTGATAGCATTATTAGAAGACGGAGATTATCTGAAAAATGTGATGTATTAGCGCTATACATTTCGAACAATCTGATCACACATTTACTTGTCAAGTCAATATATATGGAAAGGTTAAATTAAACAAGGTGACAAAAAAAAAGAATTAAGAATAATTAACACAAACGTTTGGTAATCCAATCAAATAAGGATTACCAAGGTAGGTTAAGAGTAATGACAAACTGTTTTTGAATACACAAGGGGGGCTTAAGTTTATGAATGGCTATAGCCTCAGAGTATTTCAGTAAACGTTCTTGACCGTTTTTATAGATGACCTTAAAGGCTGAGTTAACATCAACCTTATGGTTCATCTCGATTAAATGTTTAGCTATAGACGAAGTTGGTAGTCTGGCACCTGCATCTATGGGCTTGTCACAATTCATCTGTTTTCCTAACCACTTTGGGATATGCTCTCCCACCCTCACGTGCAACGCGCGATTACTCCTCCCTGTGTATGTATGTCCACACACACACACACGAAAATTGGTAAATTGTATGGGATGTGATATAATCACTTGTGCACTTTTGAGGTTTCCAGTGAAGCATATTTTTAGCCTTTTCGACAATTACAAGCTGGGCTGCATAGTAGGTTCTACGGATGATGGAATTCAACCTTTGTCTCAAAATCCTACTATTTATTTCCCCATTATATGTTATTACTCTTAACCTACCTTGGTAATCCTTATTTGATTGGATTACCAAACGTTTGTGTTAATTATCCTTAATTCTTTTTTTGTCACCTTGTTTAATTTAACTTTTCCATATATATTGACTTGACAAGTAAATGTGTGATCAAATTGTTCGAAATGTATAGCGCTAATACATCACATTTTTCAGATAATCTCCGTCTTCTAATAATGCTATCATAATTTATAAAAGGGACTAACTGTTTTAAATAATAATAATAATAGTGGTTGTATTAGCCTTTTATCATCATCACACTACTGGTATTAATGTTAGTTAAATAAAGATAGATTTTTAAGCCTTGAAATGGTGCCGGATAGATAGAGGATAATTCACCGTTTTCTTTCCACGTGGCTGTCTGTCTGTCTGTCTGTAGAATAGAAGTTGGAAGACATATTTGTGGTTGGTTGGTAGGTTGCTGCTGCTGGATTGGTAGGTAGGTAGGTAGGAGGGTGGGTGGGTGGCTGATGTTTGTTTGACGATGACAACAATAATGACGACGATGTTAGAGACAACAATAGTACTATACGATTAGTTTTATTATTATTATTTTTGAAGTGATTGATTTTTATTTTCGCGTATGTTTGTATTTGCGTGTGTATGCACTTTTTAACTGATCCATCCAGTTGTGGTCATTTTCTGTTTATATTGATATCTTGTGTTGATTGTAATATATTATGTTTGTGTGTGTGAATACCATCCGAAGCGTGCGTGTTGTTGTCGTCACGGTTAGCAATGTAGTTGCAGGGTCAGTGTTGATTTACGTGGATCTAATTGAATACAAGACTGATCATGAACTGAGTTTACTTTAGAGGACCATTGGAAAACTATCAAGGAGTACTGGACAGCTGTTTTGTCCTTGTTTGGGACTTATCAGCACAGTATGCACTCATGACTCCACTCACAAGGGGTTGAACCTACAATCTTCAGGTTACAAGGCTTGCTTGCAGTGACCGTCTAGCCACTGGGTCGGATTCCAATTCCCCATCAATTCTTATTTCTGCCAATTCGTGGTATATAGCGTCATCGTAGATTTCTTCATCTATCAACCCGTTGGGGCTGGCTGATGAAACTTCCCAAATAAGTGAAGTGAACACGCTCCACCAGTCACTTTACTCCCTATCTTTAAGCTAGGAGTCAATGTAGTCTAGTCCAGTCCTGTAGCATCATCTTACTTTTGGCGGGAGCGAATCGCATGCCAAACATTTGTAGATTATTGCCCCGCAAGGTTTTCAAAAGACTCTGCTGGATTTTGTCAGCGTCTTCACCTAAGACGGAGGACTATATCGTCTGCATATTCTAAGTCAACGAGATTATTCCCTGGTAGCAAGTCAATCCCTGAGTATCTGAAGTGAGTTAGAGTTAATTCCATTAGTACATCTATGATGCAGGTTTTGTTTCGTCACGAACATTGGCTAAAGAATCAACAGTGGAGATGTGTGTGGTTCATTGTCTTTAAGTACTGGACTTTCAAGCATTGGCAATCCTCTGTTTTCAACAAACTCCTTTGCTTTTCCATGTTACTATACTTTCTCGTGCTACATGGAGTGTGGCAACGTGAACTACTGCAATTCTGTAGTCAAAGTTCTATTTGGAAATTCAATCAGACAGACTTCAGTCTAGGCGACTGAATATTTTCGTTAGTTTTTAAGTGTTAATTATGAGAAGTGTACGCCGAATGATTGAGTTCTAAACATCAAAGAATCATTTTTTGCGTCTGGAAAGCATTGCTGTCCGTCTAGTTTTTAGATTCTTCTGCAGCTAAATGACATTCTCGGGAATAACTTTTTTTTCAAATCCCTCTAATTTTAATATACTATTTTCTTTTGACTATATGTACAACTCACAAGCAAAGACCCAGTGGTTTCGTAACATGAAAGCCTTCGTTTCAGTCCTTGATGGGGTCGTGGAGGGGGCAGTGTTGAAGAAGAGTCTCAAACTAGGGTGAAATAGAGCTGTATATGAGTGCCTTCGTGGTTCATTTATAAAATGCTTGCCAGACACGCAGGTGATATAGGTTTGATTCTCCACTGACGCAGTCATAGACGTCGCCTAGGATACCTTCCTTTAGTAAATCTGGAAAGGAGGAGACATTGTGTTTAAGGTTAGCAGCCCCCAACCCTTTGGAAACAGTATCATTGCTATTGAAACATTGAAAAATTAGCAGTTCCCGTGATATCTTTATTTACATCACTTTCACTTAGTCGGTAATGAAACTGACTGACTGACTGACTGGTCTCAACATAGAATTTTGCACCGATGTGCAGCAATTCGAGTTGCTACACTCCATGTAGCACAAAAAGCAAGAGAAGAAAGTAAAAAGAGATTCAAAACAGTAGTAATAAACAGAAATATGAGTCAAAAAGAATAGTAATATTGATGAATAATATAGTTTTATAGGGTATTATAAGTCACAAGGAGTGAATGCATCTGAGCTAGCCACTGAGAACGATGAATTCGAGCCATATCACCGATTGTACCAGCCTCCATTGGTTATTACCATCCTGAGGACCCTAACCAGCCTGGTATGAAGTCTACACCTCCCTACGTGGCTGGCTGGCTTAAACTAACTGTTGTGAATTTGATTGACTAGTGAAGTCATGTTTTGGTTTGACCACCGTTGGCTCTTTTCCAACCTGACCATTTGTCGGCTATCATTGCCCGGCAATAAAACACTGTCGTGTTATCAGATTCATGGCGACTAGCGATGGAATTCAGAATGGATATATTTCATCTTATCAGGAGCTCATCAGCTGGGCCCACTTGCTCTCTTAGTGTATGTGTGCGGTGTTGTCCTCAGTGGAACGCGAGCTCATAACCTCCTATCGCTTTAAATGACCAAATAGCTTCAACAAACAACAACAATAGAACATCTAGGAGAAATTCCGCTGTTATATGCTGCATGGTATTACCTCTCTCTCCCTCTGGGGTTTCATATACTCAGATAAGGTTAGGTTTTTTATACATACCTTGCTTTCCTATATATATATATATAGTATCAATGGCAGTCCACCGACTCAAATATTCTCGCCATCCAAATAAACATCCTATTTAATTAATTAATTAATTTTTTTAATTGTTTTTTCAAGTCCTCCACTGGTACTGGCCGACATGTTAATTTCTCAGGTGATCTAGATGGAGTAAGTTCTACTGGGAATGAAGAGAATTCTCTGAGTCGACGTCAAACATTCAGTTCACGTGTACGATCCTCAGAACACAGTAAGTTGTACACATGTATATATTACTTTTATTTCATGCATTATTATTATTATTAACTATTCCATCTGAAGCATTTTTTGGAATGCTCCACAATGAGTAGTTTTATTGAGTATTCTGAAGTTGATGTTGACAGATTTGGTGTTTCATGGAAGGTATTTCCAACAGGCACTACTGTAGATTTTCATCGGCAACTGTATTCACCTAATACTGTCTGTCTATTTTCAACATAGAACTAGGCACCGAAGTGCAGCAGTTCCAGTTGCCACGTTCCAAATAGCACACAAAGGTAGACAAGAAAATGAATGATGAAGAGAATCAATAGAGTTTTGACAAGTATAAGAGTGAAACAGAATGAGTAATGGTAGAAACGAATATGTAAGATTACACAAGAGACTGAATACATCTGCGTAAGCCATTGACAACGATTTTGTGTGGTACATGAAAGGAGTTTGGTATCTGGAACTGCTGTACATCTGTGCAAAGTTGTATTTTGAAGCCAGTCAGTCAGTTAGCATCCCAAGTGAGACTATGCCGCCATTAAAACACCCAACTTTTGTCTCATCGGGTCTCTCTCTATAAAATTTGACTAATTCTGGATTACGTAATACCCTAGAACAGAAATGAAATCAGGCATCCATAGTCCTTATATACTTTGATCATTACTTTGTAATGGACACAATAGATGATATAACACAATGAATGACAGGTATTCAGAGATATTTTAGTATTTTTTTTTCAAAAAACAACTGAATAGTAACTATGTTCAGAAAAATGTAAAATATGAGTTGGTAAATTAAAAAATTAAAAAAATCAGTTCAATACAAATGTGTATATGAATTTCAGTCTGATTTATCTCAAAATCAATCGATTTTGGCTCTCTCTCTCTCTCCGTGTGTATTTGCTTTCTCTTGTCCTGAAAGGTACTTTGATTGGTCTTTGGGTGTGCAGTGTGTTTGTGTGTGTATGTGCACTGGCGTGTATGTGTGTGCGTGCGTACAGTTTAAAGTTATTTAGATCCACGTGACTCCGGTATTTCGGTTACTCGATCACACAGTTTTTTGTGAGTGTGTGTGTGTGTGAATTTTGCATGTTTGGAATTTTTAAAAAATCTGTTACGCAATCTATCATAGTTATTTATTCTTACAATTTATTTTAAGATATTAAAAAACATCAGTTGATTTTGATTGGTTAAAATTTGACCTTCTAGTCTCGATCAACCATTGGTCAGTGATAGAAAGGTTGAAATAGCATAGTTTCTTTGATATATATGTATATGTATATATATATATATATATATGAATTGGTAGAAGTTAGAATACATGGACTGGCCATTGGATCGGGTCCCAGTGGCGGATGAATGGTCTACGAGCTTGCTAGCCTTGTAAGCCGAAAGTCCTGGGTTCGAACCCCCTGTAGTGGGTGCATGTCGATGAAGAGTCACTAACTAGGACTGGAGAAACAACTGTCCAGTACTCCCTGACTCCGTTTTCCAGCGGCTCTCTAACCAATATCAGCTTATGATGATATTTTGAATGGAGTGATTGAGAAGTGGTCAAAAGAAAATAAAAACAAACAAAATGTTGTTGGTAGTTGAGGAAAAAGCGTCAGCGCCCCGGTTAACATTGCTTTCTTTTTTATTTCACTTGGTAATATTGTTTCAACTACAGATGGTATGGATGAGACTGCCGAATGCCAGCTAGCCAGCCAGTCATTGCTACTGTATAGTTCAAAGACTTGACTAACACGTCTCTGAAAGCACTTTGATGATGAATAAGCTCTTGGAGACTTTCCTCAGCATCTGCCTTCGATGGCTGAATGCTAAGTTGGTCGGCCAGCAATGAACCAGCCAATAAAATGTTGCTCAACAACATTTTTTTTAACAGGAAATTAAGATAGATTGTGCATACACTGAGGAGACCAATTTGGGCCGTCTGATGGAATTAGAATAGTGGGCGATGTGTTTTGGGCTTTTGAGGATGATATAGAGGAGGTCGTGTGGAAAGGGAATAAAAAGCTTTCTATGCGGTCGTGAAGCATGCATGGTGTTCAATGTGGTTGACCTGACTGTGTATAATATGATTATTGGTTTGAGGTTTCGTCATACACCACCCAGTGATTCCTTTGTTTCTATATGAGTGTCTAACTAATCGAGCTACGTCTTCATATTCGTAATGTCAGAAGTATCGCATTATTGAATTGATACTGAAAACTTGAGCTTTGAATTTTCCAGTAACAGTGGTGTTTATTTTTTACACGGTGGGGTTGCTGGTTTCATGCCCAACCTTCCCTCTTCACTGGTCTTATTACCGAATTAGCGAGGTTAAGCGTAGTCCGTTGGCCGGGGATTGAACCCCGAACCACATGCGTGTTTGGCGAGCATTTTACCGCTGAGCTAAGGACACACTATAGTGGAACTCATGTGCCCTCTGGGATTTGAAGCCGTGTCTCCTAGTGTTTCATGCGGAGACTTTACCACTGCGCTAGCTATTCGGACTCAGTGGGTGGAGAAATGTGCTTTGCACGTCGGTGGTTCAGCGGTAGAATGGTCGCCAATCACGCTTCACATGGCCCGGGGCTCTATCCCTGGTCGACGAACTCCTAGATCTTGCTAAGCCAATAGTAAGCGCAGTAAAGAGGGAAGATTGGGCGTGAGGCTAGCAACCTCACCCTGTAAAAGTGGACGCACTGCTACCGAAACTTCAAAGTTCTAGTTTGAAGGAATAATAATAAATAGTTCGATAGGTAGTCAGGTCATTATTGCCTGGCCGATAGCTGCTACCTTGACGTAGTGGTCGGGCTTGCATATCGCAATGACCCAACGAGCTATACTGGCTGGAACTTATGTTCCTGTAGGTCCTAGCATGCCAGAAGGTTGTTTGGATAGCGGTTAGACAAAAAGCAGTTACCCAACCCAATGCTCTGACTCAAAGTAGATCACAAAATATCATGCCGGATCGGTCGGGGCCCGGATTAACAACGACCGCGCTTTCTGCCTCCGTGTCACAGGGCAGAAGTGTTAAGTACGCTACTGAGACACACTAAACAAGAAAAAACAAACAAAAACAGGCCGCGTTTGAGCGGCCTCAAGCAGTTGTCCCCTGGGCTCTGCGGTCACGCAACACTAACCTCTTCCCTATTTCAGGTACCCGAAGACCCAACCAACTTCCACGGTGTGGGCAGCCGGGAAGTAACAACTGCCCACACACTTCCAAAAGCACACGAAGCCGACCGAGGTCATTATTGAAACTACTTTTTTTGGGGATAGGTCCTAGCAACAATTGATAGTTCGCTCCTCTTCTCTAATTGATAATTCATGACGGTCATCGGAAAGTAACATACTAATTATACTCATGACAACTTGATGAAAGGTTCATTCATTTAAGAAAAATAAGAAAAAATCGGTAAGTGAATTCGTCTCCTTAGCTCATCTGATAGATGAGTAACATGTAAATTTGTCTGGAGATCTTGCCGATTAGCTCAAATCTTGTCCTACCCCTTTTTCAGAAGACTTGCTAACCTTTCTTGGCAGTAACTATTGTTTGGTAGTTGTATCCAGGCAGTATGCTTTGGATATAAAGTTGCCTCTCCATTGTATCATTGCTAGTGTATGCGGCTTCCTATTGCATTAGAAATGCTTTGTGTTTAATAATACTGTAGTTGCGGGAGTTTGGGGGGGCATGCTTCAACATCGTTGCTTTCTCAACCTCGGTCCAGACAACAACTTGGTGTTAGTATGATTACCTCTCATAGCCCCCTCCCCTGGTAGCATATGACAAATCCATGTCGGATAACTGAGTTGAAAAGATGTCCCCACCCCACCACACCCCATTCTTATTCTCGCTTTCATCGTAAGAAGACACACCGGCTGGCTGACTGGTTTCCCGAAGACTTTCACCAGCTCGCTGTGTCATTTCACCTCTCTGATTCCAGAGCGTTGAAGTTTCTGTAGTAGTTGTATTGGTTTCCCAGGGTAGGGTCTGTAGCTTCCACTCCTAGCCTAACCCGTCCCTCTTTTCCCCGGTCTTGGGGACCGTCTTAGTAAACTAGACGAGATTTAAAACAACTTGATAGTCACTGGCATTGAATCCTTTCTGTGTATCAAATTTTTGTTTGTTTGTCTGTTTGTTAGTTTCAATCTCCAGTCAAAAGTAGCTATTCGGCTAAATCGATACGTGTGTGTTATGTTGTATCCTGGGTGTGTGTGTGTGTGAGTACTTCTCAGTGTACTCTTTGAAAAAGCCAACTATTTCAGGTCAAATATTCTCTTGGTTAATAATTACACCGATTATAACCATTCATATATTATCGATTTTATCATTATTATTATTAACTCATTAACTTTGTTGTTGTTGTTGTTGATGTGTGTCCCCCCCCCCGTGTGTCTGTGTAATCGATCGTGATTTGGCTTTTGATTGTTTATATCCTTGAATGATCTGTGATTTGTTTTCACCTTTGTGGATATTTTCATAGTCTTCTTCATACCAGTCGTAATTATCACCTTTTTTGGTTATTGTTACAAAAATTATGAATATGAATCCAACTGTGTGCGTGTGTGAGTGTGTGTTTGTGAATACCAATTAGTATCAAATATTCGTGTTTTTTTAGTGCTTACCCCCCCATTGCTCAATGTTTTCTTTCTGTTGTTTTTTTCCGATCCTTATCAAATTCATTTTCAAGAATTTGCTTGTAGGGATTTGATTTTTGACAAGTGCAGGCAGGGAGTGCTGGATGTCTGTTTTTTGGGACTCTTCAGAAGTATGCATCCATGACCCCAACCGCGGGTCGAACCCAGGAATCCAATGGCGCTCACCAATTCAAACTTGAAAAGTAGTCTGATGCCCACTGGTGCTTGTGGTGGTGGTGGTGGTGTGGCAGTGGTGACTGCCTGTAGTTCTTTTATGCTGAAAAGTTGTGACCAGTTGCATCCACTAAGAGGATGTGATGTGAGGACAAATGCTCACCGTATATGCAAGATTCAGAATCAGGAACTTTCGTTAGGTTCTGAGTTCTAAACCCGATAGGCAATATGGGTGCATACTGCTTGAAGAGTTACAAGCTGGAATGAAACAGCTGTACAGTATACCCTTCTGGTTTTCAATGGTTCTCTAACTAAATATCAATCCGTGTTCAAACTCGAAACTTATCATATTCGTATTTTCAAGTATTGGTTTTCTAGGGATTTTGTTTGATTATATGGAGGATTTCATCATGAGCTGACATCAGTTAGAGAACCACTGGAAAACCACCTGGGAGTACTGGACAGCTGTTTTGTCCTAGTTTGGGACTCTTCATCAGTACGCGCCCACCGGGATTCGAACCCAGGACCTTCTGGTCAAGGCTAGCGAGCTCGTAGACCATTCATCAGCCACTGGCACCCGATCCAATGGTCCTTGAATTCTAACTTCTGCCAATTCACGACATAGCGCGACCATTTCGCAATGTCTTCTTAGATGAGTTACTGCCACATCTTCAACCTGCTGTACCCTACTGGTCACGGCTTCCCACTAGAACCCAAGGCAGTTAACTGCCTGAATAGGGCCAGTCACTAGCTAGTGAGCATCAGATTAATTTTCAAGTATTGGTTCGTATTTGTTTGTTTCATCTGACTCACTGACTTTCAACCCTGGTGTTGTAAATGCCAAGAAGAAAATGAAGGAGAAATGCTGTAGAAAAGATTGAGTCTTGTTTTGGATAGAATGATGCTGTGTCATACGATATACACTGTCGATGAATATATAATCAACTTGAAGACACTATACGGACAGTATATATATACTTTATAAGATATTCCGTTCGATCTCTCGTGGGGTCATGGGGGTGTGTTTACTGTGCTGAAGAATGCTAAACTAGGACGAAACAGCTGGCAAGTTTGCTGCTTCCAGGTTCCAATGATCTCTCTATCTGATGTTTGATCGTGAATTAATCCTTACGAAATATCAATTTCCAATTCATTGATGGCTGTTTGTTTGGTGTTCTGAAAGTGTACTAGGAAGCCAGAACAATGTCAGGGCGAACTGGATGTTCATCAGAGACATTCGGTGGAGAGATAGAACTCTATTACGAATTGACAGAAGTTAGAATTCGCGGATCATCCAGTTCCGGTCTAATTGACTCAATGGCTAACAAACTTGTCTTGTAACCTGAAGAGTCCCAAACCAGGACGAAACAGCCATCCAATACTGACTGATATTGGTTTGTGATGAATTCTAAAGCCCCAGAGAAAACCATAATGTAACTATTATTATCACCATAAGGTCAGCATAAATTCTTTTCTTATTGTGTTGTAAGCGTGTTTTTAAAAGAAAACAATTCTTCTCCTCTTCAAAGGTCCTACATCAGATTATCAAGGCTCATCAGGTGGATATCGTGAACGTCGTAATATTCGTGAACGTAATGCTGCTGGTGGTGTTGGTGGTGGTGCTGCTGTACCACCTGAAAGAATTCTATCGAGTAAATCATTTTCAAATGCATCAGATATAGATCGTCGGATATCGGATACTGGTGGTCGATCAGAGTATACATCATCGTCGTCGGCATATTCAGCTTCGAATCGGCCTACTTCTGCTGTGTCTTCAGTCACGAATACTAATTCTACTATGCAGAATGAAACCGATGTCAAGGGAATTATACAAAGGGTAAATACTCTTCTTTGTTATTCCACGTGTCTTATAATATAGAATACTTTAGAAATAATGAGGTAATTCCTTATAAGTGTGTTTATTAGATGTATCACACAGTGAGTGTAACAGTGTTATTATTTACTGGATGACACAGTTTCGAACAAAATTTATTGCTGTTCATAATCATTTCATCAATTATAATCACACGACTTCGAAACTTGAGTTTCATAGTTTTCTGTGTTCTGTCCTATTTGTCGTAGGGGTAGTAAAATTTTCCAGATATCTGCGTGGACGGGTGTTGAATGATTCCTATTACACGTGTTGGTTTGCAGTCGATTCGATAAACAAAGCTTCTGTTATCAATCTCTACCTCCATTCATCCTGTTACATTAGATTTTAAAACTGTCATCTTATCCCATCCCATTGTATGGATGGGATGCATGTAGTGCTGTAGCTAAACAATTTAGTTTATCTAATACCCTGCCTGCAGTGATTGCCAGGTCAAATACGTAGATGGATCAAATTAGGAGAACTGGTGCAGTCAGTCAGACTAGCCGAGCACAAACACCTATCAGTAAAATCTAGATTAGTTGACCCGAATAAGATAAGAAATCTGGAGAATAGTTCAGCTATAGCACTCACTACATGCAATTACACACAACCATCCGTAGAATGGGATGGGATAAGATGACAGTTTTAAAATCTAATGTAACAGGGCGAATGGAGGGAGAGGTTGATAACAGAAGCTTTGTTTATCGAATCAACTGCAAACCAACACGTGTAATAGGAACGATTCAACAACTGTCCATGCAGACATCTGGAAAATTCTACTACCCCTACGACAAATAGGACAGAACAAAGAAAACTATGAAACTCAAGTTTCGAAGTCGTGTGATTATAATTGATGAAATGATTATGAACAGCAATAAATTTTGTTCGAAACTGTGTCATCCAGTAAATACTAATACTGTTTCACCCACTGTGTGATACATCTAATAAACAAACTAATATGGGATAACTTACTTCGGCAGTGCCCAAGTTTTACACATATATTAATAATGAGGTGTTTTACTGTCTTATTTAGATTATTTTATTGTACTTCACTCTCATGTCATATACGACTACTACTACTACTACCATTCCTTTGTGTCGTGAGTCGAACATAAGGCTTTGAGGTTAAACCATTGAAGTTTTAATAGTTGTTAGCTGCATCCTCAACCTTCCCTCTTTACCGTGCTTACCACTAGCGTCTAAGCAGTCGAGGTTTAGAAGTGCGTTCGTCAGTTGGGAAACGAACCATGGACTACATGAGGAGCATAGTTGTGGAGTATTCTACCATTTACGCTGTAATGTGTCATATGTTCGGGTAAATTTACCATTGTTTGTGACAACGACGACGACAACAACAACAATAACTGAACCTAAAATTTAATTTGTGGATGGTGACTAGTAGTGACGGAATCCAGGATGCGCATTTCGTCCTATTTGCGAGTCGTCCTCCAGCTGAATGTACCTGCATTTTCCCAGTAAATGATGATGTTCCTACCCAGGCTCGAACCCAATGACCGTAGTTTCAAACGCCAAAGCGTTATTTACTAAACCTTATGCAGATGACGAGTCCCAAATAGGACGAAATGCGCGTTATCCTGGATTCTGTCACTGCTAGTCACCATCCACAAATTACATTCTAATTAAATGCCCAAACATCGTAGAAGCATCTGCACAAAAAGCCGACATGTCAACCTGAGACCGAGCACTTCGGTCCAATCAATCGACGGGAAAAATCTAAAATTCAATTAAAATAACTGAACCTGTTTGAAGAGAAGGTTTTCTCCCCTATGTGACTTCATCATCATCATTTTCTTCTTCTTCGTTGTTAGAAAGCTGACATTATTTAGCCTTTAACTCATACAATGTCGACGAAAATGCATGAGGACAACTAAATCAGATTCAGATTTTCAACACTGATATCAAGTCAGTGCTTTTATACGGTTTAGAAAGTTGTTGCATCACGAAAAACAGTTCTAACAGTCTGTAGACTTTTATCAGCAGTTTGTCTTCACTGGCTGCATACTGAAGATCAAATAACCAAAAAGGAATTTGAAACAAGGAACTCTGACAGGCAGTGAACCAACCGGTGACCTATTTATTATCCAACAAATTTGATATCACGCACCAACCAGGTTTACGGTCGTTTGGAATCCGAATAGGGAACAACGATGTGAACGTTACCTTTTGGCTATTGACATGATAGAAATCTTGAGAGCAGAAGATGTAAGCTTATGGCGGCCGACAATCTTTGAATCAGTTAAAGGCGATTGATTGCAGAGAACAGGATGGAATGGAAATGCTTTGTCGATGCCCCTGTATCCTACTTGGAACCTTAACCGGCTGGTTAATAATGTTAGGATAAAGTCGCCCTACAACAACTTCGTTCTTGCATTCAGGAATGTAAACTAGTTGTCTCAAGATGTAGTAATCATTCCTTTATTTTAGTACATTATTCACCTTTAGACAAAGAAGGCACCAAGAATTCTAAAGAGATCTCAGTAGCCTGGTATCTAGAGGCAGTTTCGATCAACAAATCTATTAATATAGATGAGATTTATCAGACACCATTTATCTACAAAATCTTCAGTATATTGTTGCACGCGAACATTGATAAGAAAGTTTCTGAAGAGACAGACAGACGGTCTGTTAGGTTGATAAAAAATTCCTGGAGTAACTCTGACTTCATCTTGGTTTGCAGAGATTCGACTGATTTCAAGATTGATCGTGATCTGATTTTTAGTTAAAGAAAACGACCAGAAACCATTAGAGACTACTGAACAGCTGTTTCGTCCATATTCTAGACTCTTCTCCTGAAGGTCTAAGGTTCAATCCCTGACTGGGGGAGAGAGGTCATGGGTGCTGACTGCTGTCTAGTCTAGTACTGCTTGGCTTTCAATAGTTCTCTAAATGATTATCACAATGTGTGATTAAACTTGTGAATGTCTTATAATTTAGAGTCATCCAGCTGAGAAAGAGTTCATCAATACTGCGTTTTTATTGATTTTTTCCTTTCTTTCTTTCTACTGCAATATTTAGCCTACCAGTCGATTCCTGCATCATCAAATGCAATCATCAACTAATCCAAGCGGTGTTGTTGGTGTTGGTGGTGGTCATTCATCTTCTCCTACTTATTCCTGGAATCCATCGTCACAAAATCCTACTTGTATGAATAATAATAACAGCAGTACTACTGGTACAGTTAGTGCTCGTTCTTCTGGTCTTAACAGTAATAATCATAATGACTATTATTCATCCACAACGAATTCCATGTATAATAGCTCTACGGCTCGGGATTCAACACAACTATGGCAAGATGTAAGTTTTTTCTTAATGTATAATTTTAACACTTTAGACATTTTTTTGTTGATATATATTGATTATTTCTTATCTTATTGATTATCTTAACGTTCCCAATGGAACATGGGGTTTCAAGCTAGAACTTTAAAGTTTCAGTAGCAGTGGTGTTTATTTTTTACGGGGTTTGGGGTGATAACCTTCCCTCCATACTGATCTTATCACTGACTCAGAGAGGTTTGTTAAGAGTAAGTTCGTTCGCGATAAAAGCCCCGGACCATATATGTGGTTCTGTTTGCTTTCGACATGTGGCACACAAATCAAGAGAAAAAAGTAGAAGAAATGCAGAAGAGAGATAGTAGACTGGGATATGAGGCAAAAAGAATAGTAATGTCGAAGAACAATATAGATTCATTGGAAATTATAAATCGCAAGGAGTAGATGTATCTGTGCCAGCCATTGAGAATGATGAGTTTAAGCCATATCACTGATTGCCTCCAGCCTTCATTGGCGTTTGCCACCCCGAGGACCCCAACCAGTCAGGAAGTTTACACCTTCCTACGTGGCTGGCTTAAACAAACTGTTGTAGATTTCATTGACCGATGAAGTCATGTTTTGGTTTGACCACCACTGGCTAGCTCTTTTCCAACCTGACTCTCTGTCAGCTAACATTGCCGGTCGAGGAAGGCGATGGCTAGGGATTCATGCGTAACACATATCCTAACCATCTCAATCGATGTAGTTTATTTTATTTATTTTATTTTTTTTTTATTTTTTGATTACAGCTTAATGCCACACCGTATTTTTAGGTACAGGTATGGAATTTTCAGCTTGGTTATCGGTAGCCCAAATTATGCAGGCCGACCATAGATATCGGGTGTGCGCCGGCAGGGGGGCGAACCCCGGACCATGTGCATGGTCGGCGAGAGTCCTAACCACTGTGCCACCGACGCACGGTCTCGTCTATTGATTTCCCCTCCCATCTACCTAGCACCCAAAGCCTAACCTCAATATTGCTCACCTTATTATACAACTTCACACGGGAGGTAGAACGCAGGCACCTATGATCAAAGACAGCTGGCCAGCCTTTTCATGTCCTTTACACTCAAGGGACAGGTCTCACAGCTAGCCATAAAGCAGGACTGAGCGAACTGCTGAGCAGTATACACGCCCTTTCGTCGATAGCCGGATATCATAAGTGGTCGGCCAGCATTCTACCGCCGAACCATTATGAAGTACACTATGATGACTATTTCTAGGTAGATGTAATCAAGAATCAATAAGTGGTCACTTTGTCCTAGTCTGGGATTTTTCAGAAATGTAAAATCAGAACCCTGAGAAACACCAGGTTTCATGATAGAGACACGTTACTACCATATGTATAAGGGAAATGGGCTCTCAATAGCCGTTATTTTTTCAACTTTTGTCAACTTTTATTATTATCATTATTATTATTGTTCCCTTGGATTCTGAATGATGGAACATAGGGCTTCAACAACACATATCCCCTTTTTTCTGCTGTCCTCTTTAACTAGACCCGTGATTACTCATAATCTCTCATCTTCTCCTTGTCACCCGAGTTTCTCCATGTCGGTCGTCTCACTCGTTGTTTCGTTTTGGATTCCACTCGAGTGGTGGCCTGGCGCGCGATTTCATTTGACGGTCTCCTTAGTGTGTGTCCTATCTATCTCCATTTTCTGTTACATGTTTGTTATGCAATAGGTTCTCGCTTGTTGGTTCGTTCCTATAGTTTCTTGTTACTAATTCTTTCGGGTCATTTGATCCTCAGTATGGAGTCAGCGAAGAGGGTAGCTGTTGATAAAAGTTTGCAGGTTGCCGTTGGAAATGTTTTTCATGACACGCCCGTCAAGTTTCTCACGCATATAGAAGAATTGACTAACTTAACATTTGTGTTGGAAATCTGAATCTTGTTCTTCATGCTGTGCTGTTCAGAAAATATCGAAATTGATTTCTGATTCTGGTTTGAACATCTTCATCCGTTCCGCTTGTAGTTGAAATAATGCTTCCTAAATAAATGAGATGCATCGGTGGTGCAGCGGTAGAACCAGTGCTGGCTGACCATGCACGTGGTCCGGGGTTCGATTCCCAGTCGGCGCACACCTTTACCTCCCTCTTAGCCGGTTACAACCCGAACAAGGAGAAAAGGTTGGGCTTGGGGCTAGCAACTCCACCCCGTAAAAATAAACACCACTGCTAATGAAACTGAGAACGTGAAGGAATAAAAAGATAAATAAATGCAGGAATTGACCTTCCTTCCATTGTTAATGACTGTTATTTGATGTCACACAAAATTTAAGACTTACAAGCGAAAACCGACAAACTGGTCGAAGAAGCAGCCAGAGAAGACAGGACTCCAGGTGAACATAGACAAGATGGAGGTTATGAAAATAACCAACCAACAATAATAACAACAACAACATCCAGCGCCAATCACCATCAACGGGAGGGATTTGAAACAGATTACTTCATTCACTTATCTAGGTAGCATTGTCTCAACTACAGGAGGAACGGACGAGGATGTCAAATCGAGAATCAGGAAGGCGAGAAACACATTCATCAACCTGAAACCAATCTGGAAATCTTCGTCACTCAGCCTGCATCAACAACAAAATGATTCGGATTTTCAATGCAAACGTCAAGTCAGTCAGTTCTTCTATACGGATCAGAATGTTGGCGGGTCACCAAGAATATTTCCAACAGCCTGTTGCAGACCTTTATCAATAGCTGTCTTCGGTCTTTACAGAAGATCAGATGGCCGGAAAGAATCACCAACAAGAAACTATGGGAACAAACAAAACAAGAAATAATCGCTCAACAAATATGCAGGAGAAAGTGAGGATGTGTTGCACACTCGCTGAGGGGGCCGCTGGGTGACATCGCGCGTCAGGCCATTGCTCGAGTGGAAGGTGAAAGGGAAGCGGCGAGTGGGACGTCCAAGGGTGAGATGGAGGAGATCGTGTGAAGAGGAGTTGAAACATTATAGATTAACATGGATGCAGGTTAGAAGTACAGCAGAAGAGAGAAACAAGTGGAGACGTGTAGCTGAAGCCCTATGTTCCATTAGGAACCCAAGGGATTATTATTATTATTATTATTGTATCGTTTAATTCCTACAGGAACATAGGGCTTCAGCCGTGCGTCTCCATTGCGTTCTGTTCTCTGCTAGAGTCTTCAACTGGCTGCATGTCTGCCCACACGTTTTCATCTTCTCTTCACATGACCTCCTCCAAGTCACCCTTGCACTGACGACCAACTCGCCGCTTCCCTTTCGGCTTTCACTCAAGGGCTTGTCTAGTGATGTCACTTGATTGTTTCCCAAGAGTATGGCCATTCCATCTCCATTTCTTCCTGCCTATTTGTCTCACAATGGGTTCCTGGTTTGTTCGCTCCAAGAGATCCCTCCCTGTTGCTGATCTTTTCTGGCCGGCCATCTGATCTTGAGTGGTATTGAGCGAAGACAACTGTTAATGAAGGTCTGTAGTTTGTTTGAGATGCTCTTTATGACGCGCAGTGCAAGTCTCTGATCCGTATATTAGCACTGACTGACTTCAAATTGGAGTTGAAAATCCGAGCCTCATTCGGATCTTATTTTTCGTGCTGAGTGCTGTTGACCTCCACACAGACTTGAGAGTAATGAAAGCTTGCCTTGCTTTCCCGATCCTCATTTTGATGTCCTCGTCAGTTCCGCCTGTAGTTGAAACGATGTTTCCCAGGTAGGTGGGTAGGTAAAGGAGGTAGTTTCTTTCAGGTTCCTTCCATTTATGCTTATTGTTGTCTGTTGTATTTTCTGCTGTTGGTGTTGGTCAGGAATGTTCATCACCTCTGTTTTCTCTATGTTAACCTGAAGTCCTATATTTGATGCTTCTTCTGCCAACTTGTTGCTTTTCATCACTTGCATATCTTCCAGTTTGTGGGAAATCAGACATATATCATCGGCGAAGTCCAGTTTATGCCTGTTTCCTCATTGCCCGCTGTTTGTCGCATTATCCAGTCTACTGCAATCAAGAAAATCATTGGCGATAGTAGTCAGCCTAGCCTTACTCCCGTCTTCACTTCGATGGATTCCATGTGTTTTCCGTTGTGGATTACTTGGCATGCAGCATTGTCGTGCAGCTGTTGGATGAGATGCCTAATTGTCGGTGGCACCCCGTAGTAGCGAAGTAGTTGCCAGATCACCTCTCGATCGACGCTGTCGACGACATTTTCAAAGTCGATGAAGTTAAAATAGAGAGGTGACTGTCATTCCAAACTTTGTTCAATGATGATCCGTAATGTGGCGATTTGATCAATACATGACTTGTTTCTCCTGAATCCAGCCTGTTCCGGTCGACGTTTTTCATCCAGGGCATGTTTGATCCTTTCCAGGATGATGCGGCTAAGTATGTTGCTTGGGATGGACAGGAGCATAATTCCGCGCCAGTTCTTGCATTGACTTAGGTCTCCTTACTTTGGTAGCTTGAATAAGTATCCTTTCTTCCAATCCTCGGGTACTTTGCCTTCTTTCCACACCTTCTCCAGTAGTGGCGTCATCAAGTCGGCTGTTGTCTCTGGATCAATTTTCAATGCTTCTGCTGGAATTCCATCTGGTCCTGCTGCTTTTCCAGCTTTTAGGGAACAATTATAATAATCATAATAGTGATTGTTGTTGGTTGGGTTGGTTGGTTGGTTATCTTCATCACCTCCGTCTTCTCTATGATCACCTGAAATCCTGTCTTTGCTGCTGCTTCTTCGATCGGTGTGTTGGTACTCGCCTGTAAGTCTTATTTCCTTCACTTACAATACAAAATCTGTATACATCTACTGTATTTCTGCCTTTCTTTTTTGTCTATGTATATATAAGGACCATAAACTTTCTGATTATATGTGAATGAGACAATAGATGTAATACTATAAGCTTGATATCTGTCATAGTCACAAAGTGACAAATATTACTATTATATATTCTATTATTTATTCCTATTGATTCTATTAAACTGATTTGTACTTGTGAATCTATCTACCTATCTATCTACCTACCTACGTACCTACCTATCTATCTCTCTATTTCTCCATACATTAGCAGTTACTAGTGGTAACAGCTGCTACTCACTGTGCGTGCGTGCGTGCGTGTGTCTCCATTATCCCTTGTCAATATGTGTATTTTATATTTTTAGCTTGTCTAATCAATGTTTGAGCGAGCAAATGGATATTATACTCTTTTTTTCACACGTTATGGCACGTTATGAGTATTATGTCATTCAAGCTTTCTCTCTCTTTCTCTTTGTCTCTCTAAACTTGCAAGGTAGAAGTTATCGACTTTCTTAAAAGCATATAGTTGAATTCTCTGCATTTGAGTATCATCTGTTTCAGTGTTTCCGTTCGGTTCAGTCGTAGAAGAATACTCGTCAACTGAGCGCATGTCTTGTGTGTGTGTGGAGGGGCGGGGGAGGGCTCGATTTCCTTCAGACTCATTCCTAGACCTCGATTAGCGCGCCAGTAAGCTTGCTAATAAAGAGAGCGGTTTGGTGTGTAGGGCGAGCAACTCCATCCCCGTAAAACTCCTCAAAAACATCGAAGCTTTGAAGCCCCATAGGTTCCACTCGGAACACAAGGGAATGCGGAAAGCTTTTTTAATTATTGTAGTCAATGAAGAGAATTAATTATAGTCTGTTCGCGGTTTCTCAGTCTTCTTATTCTTCAGATGTGCAATCACTGTTGACTTTAATATTATATTGTTATTTATTATTACTATTATTCGTTTGCTTTCTTAGTGGGGTATACGGCTTCAGAAGCAAGCGGTACATCTTTTTATTACTGTGTTTTCTGCAGTAGTTTCCAGCTGTCTCGTGTGATTGCTCATAAGCTGTTATTTCGTCCTCCTTACACATAATTCTCCATTTCATCCTCGAAAGAGATGTCTCGATTCGCTATTTCCTATTTGCGTTTCACTCGAACGATGGCCAGGTGTGCGTGATTTCACTTAAGAGTCCCCTCTAAGTGTGTCCAATTCATCTTCATTTCCGATATAAGTATAAAACTTGGGCACTGTGGTAGAGTATAACTCCATTATGGATAAGATTTTATTTTGATATTGTCACATAGTGTTGACCACGTTTCGAGCACAAACTGTTGCTCATAATCATATCAAGTTACTCACACAACTTTTTCCTTCATTTATTACATGAGTGGAACTGATGATTAGATATTTGAATAAAAATCAATATGGGATAATGTACATTCAGAAATAATAATAATATGAGTGTTATCAATCAAATACAATCAGATGGGAAATAAGACGAGTGATTTTATAGTCATAATAAGTAACTTGGAAGAATGTTGTGATGTGCTTGAACTGAAATAGAATTTTAAGATTATTTATTATCCTCCTCTGATTTCAATGACTGGTGGTAATAATATCTTCCATATTTCGGGTATTTGCATTGAGTCACTTCCATTGCATGTGTTCGGTGTAGACTCGATGCACCAGGATTCAGTAATCAATCTCTGTCTTCACCTACTCCTATTACTTCTTAGAATTCTAACCCTCTCCCAGCGTATTGTGTGGTTGTGTGTTAATGCGTTAAGTGCAATTGCTGAGCATTTTTCTGAATTACTTATCTTCTCGGGGACAACGATTCTTACCTTGGCTAAAGTCTTATGTTCCGACAATCTGACTACCCCCGACCTACTAGGTTGACTGACCTAGGTAGTTGACCTAACCCACAGTCATTGCAAGGGATTTTGTATATTATATTATTTTGTTTAATTGGGTCCACCGGGTCTTTTTAGCCTACAGAGCAATGCAAATACCAGAAATATGGAAGATATTATTACCACCAGTCAGTCAAACCAGAGGAGGATAATAAATAATCTCAAAATTCTATATCAATTCACGTACATTACAACATGCTAACAAGTTTCTTATTATGACTAAAAATGAAAACACTCGTCTTATTTCCCATCTCATTGTATTTGGACAATAACACTCATTATTATTATTATCATTATTATTATTATTATTATTTCTGAATGTACTTTATCTTATATTACTGATTTCTATTCAAATGTCTAGTCATCAATTTCACTCATGTATATAAATGAAGGAAAAAGTTGTTTGAGTGACTGGATATTATCATGAGCAATAATTTGTGCTCGAAAGGTGGTCATCAGTTAATATTACTGTATAACAACACTGTGTGACTTATCATAATAAAATCTTATCTATAAGCCAGTAAGTAATAAAACTGGTAAAGAGGGAAGGTTGGGCTTGAGGCTGGCTAACAACCCTATCCCGTAAAATTAAACACACCATTGCTAACGGAACTTCAAGCCTCTAGCTTGAAAGTGCCCTATGTTCCACTGGGAACGTAAAGGAATAAAAAAGAATCTGTGTCCTCAAAAATGTTTTTATTTATTGGTTTTGACCAATAAAGCACTAGACTGGTAAAACGAGTCACTACTGGTACAACTCATCTATTGATTTTGTGTATTTAACAATCATTCAGTATGTGATATATATACTTTTTCTGTTTTCATCTGAACACTGGTTAAGTAATTCCATTTCTTGTTTTCTCACCCCCCCCCTCCATCGTGTTGCATCATCACATTTATGCTGATGAATCCTCCTCGGTTCGTTCAACTGTCGTATTCCTGGCGTCAACAATAACAACAACAATGCAGTCTAAAGATTATAAACGTTTGTATGAAAAAGAGAAAGAGGAACGTGATAAACTCCAACGTGAATTGGATCGATGTCAACGTCAGATAAATCAACTGCGCAATGAGCTGCATCATCATTCATCACAATCCTCTGCATCATCATTGCGTAATTCAAATGATTATGGTTATACAAATTCAGAGACAAATAATTACAGTAATAGTAATACTAATAATAATTCACAAGCACCAGAAACTGTAAGTCTTCATAAGCCTTTATCTATTATTATACTTATAATAATAATTATTGCCCGTAGTTTGGTTTGTAAGGGTTAGTTGTGTTTTTTACTAGTTGATCACGGATTGATGTCAGTTAGAGAACCATTGAAAACCAGCCACAGGGAGTACTGGACAGCTGTTTCCTCCGTCCTGGTTTGGGAATCATCGGCAGTACGCACCCACCCCACAAGGGGTTCGAACCCAGGGCCTTCCGGTTACAAGGCAAGCTAGCTCGTATACCATTCAGCCACTGGGACCTAATTCGATGGCTCATGAATTCTAACTTCTGGGCGGTGGGTGCGCACCTCCGATGATTCCCAAACTAGGGGGATGAAACAGCTGTCCATTACTCCCTGGTTTTCAATGGTTCTCTAATGGACATCAATCCGTGACCAACTTGTAAAAAAATAATAATAGCTTTATTCCAAACAGTATTTGTGGTACAGGTATGGAATTTTCAGCGTGCATTACAATATTGCATCTAATTACCTCATAAATTTTATAAGGATTTAAAAATATAAAGCAACAACAACAAAAAGAAAAAAGAGAAATAAAAGGAATAAAAAAGAACAGCATTGCATTCACATATTTAAACAATGCACCACAGGATATGATATATAAAATTAGTGTGTAATAGAATATGCGAGCAACAATATAATAGTAACAAAGAAAGGAGAACAAAAGCTAATGGGAACTATTTGTTAGAGTGCCGCAGTAAGGTGATCGTGTCACACCTAACGGATTTCTCATCACATAACAGCTGTGCCAGATAAGGTATTGTGGAGTTCTTGTACTTGGTAGTCCTGGCATATATCCTCCTATAGTTGCTTCTAGTTCTACCAGATGAAATGCAAAGAGATAGCTGCGTATAGAGATGGTGTTCAGGGTCTGACAATATAGTATTCGTTAGTTTCTTACATGACATTATATGTCTATCCACAATGGTGTTAACCAGTTGGTTTAACGAAATCCCACTTACCCTACTAACAGCTTTTAGTGCCCTACGCAGCAAAGCAAAGTCTTGTGTCAAGGAGTGCGTTGATGGCTCAGTGGTAGAATGCTTGCTAACCACACCGCAAGGCGTCCAGGGTTCGATTCCCGGTAAACACCCTTCTGAAACTTGCCTAACCCAGTAGTAAGCTTGGTAAAAAATAGAAGGTTGACCGTTAAAAATATAAACACCAATGCTACTGAGACGTGAAAGTCAAAGTTCCACTTGGTGGAATTCAAAGGAAGAACAGTGGCTCAAGGTTTTCGTTCATTGCGACTCCATATTAGTTAGAGATTACTGGAGAACTTTCACTTTTTATCAGGTGGTGAAACTACAAGGCGAGCACATTTTAACACTACTCAGCCATTGGGTCCTGAATCCAGTGGGTCATGGACTCCTAATCAACGTAACGTCTGAAAAAAATTTTTTTAGCATTATTATTATTATTTTTTATTACTTTGGATCACAGTCTTAATTGTTAGTCAGTTATATAAAACCTATTCTGTGACTTTATATTCTCATTTGTTTCTCAACGGTTAATGAAAATTATGGGGATTCTTTTTACGAGTTGATCACGGATGGATATCAGTTAGATAACCACTGAAAACCACCACTGGAGTACTGGACAGTTGTTCCATCCTAGTTCAGGAATCGTCGGCAGTACGCACCCACCCCCACCAGGGTTCCGACCCAGAACCTTCAGGTTACAAGGCAAGCTAGCTAGTATACCATTCAGACACTGAGACCTGATTCAATGGTCAGTCCATGAATTCTAACTTCTCCCAGTTCGTGATTAAGCGCGACTGGCACCGACCAATGTCATCGGTGGGACATCCATCCTCACACATGGCGTCTGGATGGGTCTCACTGGTCATGATTTCTCACTAGAACTCGAGGAAACTCCATCCTGTGGGAAGTCACTAGCGAGCATCAGATTAATTTTTTTATAGTTTGGTTTGTAAAGGTTGTGCTAAATCACGAATTGGTAGAAGTTAGAATGCATGGACCGGCCATTGAATCGGGTCCCAGTGGTTGAATGGTCTACGAGATAGTTTGCCTTGTACCCGGAAGCTCCTGGGATCGAACCCTGGCGGGGGGTGGTGAGTACTTCCGATGATTCCCAGCTAGGGGGATGAAACAGATGTCCAGTACTTCAGTGGTGGTTTTCAATGGTTCTCTAACTGATATCAATCCGTGATCAACTCGTAAAAAATTGACTATCGATCTGAAAGTCTAGTTCTCCTTCAAGTTTTCTTCAATAATGTCTTGCTTAGAAATTTGGTCATTTTCCCTATAGTACAATAGGCATAATCCATTACTCTTAGTATCCAATGAAAGGGTTGGTGTGTGTGTAGGCCTTTGCTTATTCATGTGATACTGAGAGATATTATCACAGTCTATCACAGGGAGCTTTTTAGATTGACAGATTACTACTTCTGATGTGTTGTGCAATAGAGAGAGGTAGTGATGATTGATGGCCACATATATTTCAATCACCAATAGTGTGTCTCTCAAGGCTAATCGTAATCATTCTTAAATCATCACACTGACACCTACTGGTTGTCAACTGAATTTCAGCAGAGAACAACAATACACACAACAAGTGCACCAATTCAACTTACCACACTCCATGTAGACTGAAAAGAGCGATAATAAGATGGAGATTCGAAAGGACGATAACAAGCGGAAATGTGAAGAAGAAGAAAGTATGGTAGCATGGAAAACATGAGGATCTACTGGATTATAGATGGTCATAAAGAGTGAATGCCTCTGCTCTGTTGGTTCTTAGCATCCAGAAAGGCACCCTAACTAGATAGTGTACACCTATTTACGTGGCTGGCTCAAACCAACAGCCTCAAAGAATTCACGGACTGGTGCTAAGTTTTGATTTGACATTCCCTAACTGTTTTCCAACCTAATCATGTATCAGGTAACATCGTTTATTAAGAAAGACGACTGCACGATATGGGAAACACGTGTGTAACGCCAAAAGACAAGGGCCAGGCAACGGATCGTTGGTTGAGAAAATCAACAGATATTTATAGATTTTTATGTACATTATTATTAGCGTTATTGTTAGCAGAGAAGCACCGTCTTCTGATTGGTTGTTTTATTGCTGAAGGTCATTCTGTACTGCTTGTGACCGTTTCTTAGAAAGTTAAGCCATACATCTGCGAATCGTACTTACACCCGTTAAGTCTGTTGTGGATGGTTGTTGAGTTCCTCAAGGTTAACCTTTGTTATTGTTTTTTCTTATGGTCGCGATTTGGGACGTAACATTGACGTAAATTGTTGTTTACAACTTTGGTTGGCAGACAGCTCTCACCCCACGTGTCCTAGCCATCTTAATCATCGGTTGACTCGTCCTCCTTATCCTAGTACTCTACGCTTGACGTTTGTATTGCTCATCCTATTATACCAAATAACCCAGGAGATACATGGATAGGTAGATAGATAGGACGGGAAGTCATTCGGTAAGGTTGTGAAGCAGCTGTATTGATTGAAATGGTTAGGACAGATGTGTTACGCACATTATCTATTCACTGAATTTATCGATTTAGCAATGTTATCATTTATACGATTATGTAAAAACAGATTTAGGGATGGTCAAATCAAAATATTGCATGTAGGGAAATGTTGCCTGGTGCGTTTCGAGGCTTGCAATACCAGGTATCAGTGTTTCGAGGCTGTTGGTGGTATAATGTGGCTGGGAATCGTCTGGTGTACTGCAGATGAAGTATGGACTGTTTTTGATCCCTCGGTTCCTTATTATTCTCCTTCGGTTGGATTTGTTTTGTCAATCTTTTGTGTGTACTTCTGTGAAGTGTGACGATTTGATGAACTGCCATACTGGTATGCAAGAGTTCTAAGCTTGAAGTTTAAGAAGGCGTACACAATATATACACAGAACAACTTTGCTAGTCTTTGGAGTTATATATATATATATATATATATATATATATATATATATATATAGAGAGAGAGAGAGAGAGAGAGAGATGATTTACAAAGTTATGTTGAAAAACAACTACAGTAAACTATTGAAATATGCACATTCGAAGTGATGTTTTTGTCTATGCAGTGAGTGTGTGTGTGCGTGTGTATGTGCTAGTATATCCCACACTTCTTCTATGGGAGAAAAAGAGTGAGAGAGAGACAGGGGAAAGGGTGTGTAGGAGGATGGGTTTATGGCGTTCAACTCTTTATTCTATAATGATGATAATAATAAGCTACCATAAAAATAGTAATAAAAAATTTTTTTCTCATTAAGATACAAACTTGATACATTGTGGACAACATTGGAATACTACCCTGGATATCGAGACTAAAGCAAATGGTTGTCTTTAAAGGGCCAACCCCCTCCCACCCCAATAGCCTTCGCCTTGAAGTCTCGCCTACAAGGCAGTAGAGCATTGTCAGGGGCTGTTGAGCCCTCGTGGTCCCCAGTGATCAAAATAGTTTCATACCTTGCCCCCTCCCCCATCCGTTTTAGAACTGTAGGTGTGTTATACCCCGTGGTTGTGATTAAGTGTTTTTGCATGCATTGCGATTGGTATTGATCTGTATAGAGCCAATTATATTTTACACTTAGCAAAATTCTTATGTTCTGATAATTTGACTGACCCCGATCTACTGTTCTAATACTATAGAGATATAGACAATATTACTACTTATAAAATCAAACGATATGAAATAGTAAAATTATGTAAACAAAGTTTTGAATAATGTCCGTTATATTGCTAGTGCCTTGATACCGATTATGAGCAGGAATAAATTCTGTACAAGGTAGAGGGACAGCGTCAGGAGCTGCTACGTTCTCATGGTTTCTTGTTAGCTTTCTATCTGCTGTGTTAAGTGTTATAATAGGGTGAGTAGTATTGAGGTTAGGCGTCGGTCGATTGCTAGATAACGAAGGAAAGTCAATCGACGAGGTTGTGAAGATACTAAGTCTATTGAGATGGTTGGGACTTGTGTTACGCATGCATCC